ACCGACGGAGCCGGCGTGGGCACCGATGGGAGCCGGCGTGGGCACCGACGGAGCCGGCGTGGGCACCGACGGAGCCGGCGTGGGGATCGACGGCTTCGGTGTCGGCGGGTTCAACGGCTGCACGGGCGACCCATCGAGGCAGCCAACCTGGTAGTCGGGCAGCGGGCCCGTTGCGACAAACCACGACGCTGGCGCGCCCGAAATGTCAAAGTTGATTTCGCTCGGCGTCTCGGCCTCGCTATAGTCCCACGACGCGCACGTCGTCGGCACCGAGATCGTGTCGCACTGCGGCGTCGATGGGCCGCACGGCATGGACGGGAACGCGCAGCCCCAGGCCCCGCTCGCGAGCTTCACGCACTTGGCGTCCTCCTTGGCAATGCAGGTCTGCGTCGCCGCGTCGTACGAGGGCAGGTACGGGTGGCAGTCCTTCTTGGCCGCTGTGCCCTTCAACGGGCACGCAATGCCGGTCGGCGCCGGCCCGGCGCCCGCGCAGATCGCGCCGGCAATGTCATACGTGGCGTCACGGCAGACGCTCACTTGCGTCGCGGCCACGGTCGAGGCGAGGGCGAGGAGCGACATCACGGGCGTCTTCATTATCGTCGTCTTGCCAGCTCTTGGGTAAGTTTCCGAATGCTGCTGCACTATCGGTAGCTACTGCGAGCCGGACCAGTGCCGCATACAAAGCCCAAGACACTCGGGCGCTTCAGTAGCAGGTGGCGCGCGCGACAACTGGCCGGATCGCATTTTATACCATGACATACAAACCCCAAGTGTAGTGGTTGTGATTTTAATGCATTACGCACCGCGTTCCAGCTGGCTAGAATCACGCACCGCTCGCCTTGCCCAAAGACGCCGGCGCCGGTGGAATGGACGCGAGCACAGCACGCGACGCTTCCACGCACCGCAACCAAGACGCTAAACGCACGCCTCCTAAATGGCGCAAAATTTTCAGCGCACACGCCTGTCACAGAAAGCGCACCAAATGGGCGAAATGCGCCCGGCCGTGCGCGAGAAGCGCACCTCATTCGGCGAAAATCGAGCTCGGTGTGCGGCGGCCCCATCGTCACAAGGGGGCTTGCTATGTGCTTTGGTCAACGTCCGTACATGCCGTGGAGCAGGACTTACATGTTTCTTCTCGCGGAGAAGCAATCGAAGGCGTTTCGAGAAAAATGGAGCCGCAAACTTTGTCCGTGTGATATTAGGGCGACGGAGGAAAAGCGCACCCATATCTTGGCGGAAAAGCGCACCGAGATCCCACTCCCACTGACCATGCCATTACAACCGCCCGAGTCTTCTGGCCGAGATCTCGGATTTATCATCATGTTTCGGGGTTGTGCTGGACGGCGACGCTGCTTGGGTGCTCGAGGGCGTGGCTACTCGTTGCGGCGCAAAGCGTGGAAGCTCGGTTTCGACCGTTGACGCTGCAGCGAGCGTGCAAGGGTGGAACGGGGCACTGCAACCTCTTCCTACTTTGCGTCTCTGCTTGCAGACAAATTTGTCGGTGGCAAAGCCGTTCAAGGCATAACGCTGCGTGCAAAGGTTTGAAAAATTGCCGCGGATCGTAAAAATGCCGTTCATTCCGCCCCCGAACTGTCAGCGCCGCAAGTGCAAATTGAATTGCTACGCAAGACCCAGGTTTCGAGGGGTGCGTATCAACTTGCCTGGTCTGCGCTGGCCTGGTGGACGAAGAGGAGGACGATCTTGCTCGTACATAGTGAGCGTGTTGCAGCGGTGGCAGGGTCGTTGCGAGCGGTATGAGCATGCGTTCATTACATAACCTCGTTGCCTTGGGCTCACTTGGCGCGTCAAAAGGTCGACATTCTGCGACCTCGAATGCTCAATGGAGATACCACGTCAAACTCTCACGAGAGAAACCAGGCAAGAGCGAACAGGGTGGACTGGGTTCCCGTGCTTGTCCACTGTGGAGTCGAGCAGGTAGAAAAGAGGCAGCCAACAAAGGAGTAAAATGGCTCATTCCCTTGCAGCTAATCAGCGACGGAGGCAGTTGCCCGAGGAAAGCTCACAGCCTTGACGAATTTTCGAGAGACTTAAAAAACCTCTTCATTCTACGAGCTGGGCCTCGACGAAACCAGCTACTAGTACCACGTAGTGCTATCTCTTGTCCAACGATACGCCAAGCAAGAACGGCTCCATTGTGGCCGACATGCAAGTCCTTGAAAGGCCCAGTTTCATTGACGGCGTTATGGCCTCTCAAGGGAGTGAACTAATTCCCTTGAGCCCCTCTGCACAACTCGGACTCATAGCAGTCGACACGCTCGATCAGAGCACAATCTCAAGGTCGGTGCCAGCCTTGCCCTTGTAAAACGACATCTGGTGCTCCTGGAAGAGCGCCTTGACCGCGTCGACGTACTTGGCGTGGTACAAATCAATCTCGGCCTGCGTCGGCGCCGCCCGCTTGGGCACGACGACCGGCGACCCCACGACCGTGTGCAGCGGCGTACTCATCGGCAGCGGGCCACTCGTGACGCACGGCATCGAAAACGTAAACGTCTTGAGGAGCTTTTCTTGGACATTTCGGAGCAGCGAGCCCATGGGGTTGGCCACCTATTACATGCCATGAATATCAGGTCGTCCTCAGGTATGCTCGGAACTCTACCTGCGTGAAGAGGTCCGTCTCGCCAAACGTGTAGACGGGCACGAGGGGCACGCCGTGCTGCAGAGCGAGCTTGACAAAGCCTTTGCGGCGGTTGAGAACGAGCCGGTTCGTGCCCGGGTGCGACTCGAGCGCCTCTTGCGCGCCGCCGACCACGAGACAGGCCGACCGGCCACAGCCAAGGACGTTTGAGAGCGACGTGTAGCTCGCGTCTATCAACGTATCAACGTATCAAGATGGATCGACCACGTGGCAGCACGAGAACGCACCGACAAAGCCCAGGGCGAGAAGCAGGTCCTTCCAGAGCGGGACGCGAAAGTTGACGCCGACCGTGGCGAGCGCAATGTCCAAATTCTTGTTTTTGCGTGAAAAGTGGAGCGAGTCGCCGCCCTGCACGGTGATATCAGACGAAGTGCTGTCCATACAGAGAGACGTTTGTACAAAGGCCATCCAAATGCTAATGCCAATGATGCCTAACGACGTTGCATGAGCATGCAATCGTCGGCAGCACGGATTAGAGGAGGTCCACCGTGCGGATGGGCGATGAAGAAGTAGTTCTTGGTCGCATCCAGCTCGTCGTCTTGGTGCAGCGTGTGCGGAAAGTAGAGACGCTACATATGCATCGCCTCTCGATCGTCGTTGCAGGTGTCCACGTACCGCGTACTCCCAGAGCCTAGGACGAAGCGAGATGAGGAGGCACAGCACTCGCGGGCACTACCTAGATGTGCGCAAGAAGCGTACGACGCGGCCTTTGCCATTGTACGCGGCGCGATCAACTACATTGGCGTGAAGAAAGAGCTACGAGCCATGAGCGGCGAGGCGCGGCGACAGCGGAAGGTACCGCGAGCACAAGCAGCGCGCCGTAGGGTGGCAGCCGCGATGCGATGAACGCTAGGAGGCCCACGAAGCCTGGGAAGAGCGCGTAGATGTACGCCAAGAAGGCCTTCTGGGGCCTACGCGCGCGTGAGCCGGCGACGCCCGTCAACACGACCTTACGCCGTGGCCATGTTGTGGCTCGGAGGTGATGAGGATGTGCATGGCATGTGCCACATTTAGTGGGAAATAGTGTATGTCGGGATCGACGCGAAATAGGGTGATGTGGGACTGTGTGCACGTGCCACACGTGCCACGTTGGTATGGCCCGTACGCTGGAGAGGCCGCCGCGTACCAAGCACGTGCATGCGGCGTGTCGGCCATCGGGCACGTGCCATGCCGAATCCAAGACGACCGATGCCACCTTGCGAATACAAGCCGGTATGCAAACCTCTTAAAACGAATGTTGAAGATCAAAGTGGACGGGATTTTTGGGCCACAGACAAGATGACAGCCTTGCTACCGGCGACGAAGCGCCTCATCGACGGCCTCTTCCACGGCGCGTCCAGCGCCGTCGCGCGGACGTCCCTCGCGCGCTCGATCACACTCGTCGAGTCGACGCTGCCCCGCGACCGCTTCCAAGCCGAGCTGCTCCTCGACCATGTGCTCGAGCAGCGCAAGGCGCTCGCCGATCGCACGACGACGGCGACGCATCAAGGCCACGCGACGTCGTTCCGCATTGGCATTGCGGGCCCGCCTGGCGCGGGCAAGTCGACCTTCATCGAGACTCTCGGCTTGTCCTTGACAAAGAAGGGCCACAAGGTCGCGGTCCTCGCGATCGACCCGTCGTCGTCCGTCACCGGTGGCTCGATCCTCGGCGACAAGACGCGCATGACGCACCTCTCCAACAGCCCTGACGCCTTTGTGCGCCCGTCGCCGACGCGCGGAACGCTCGGTGGTGTCGCCCAGCACACCAACGGTACCTACTTCGCCGTCGACATTGTAGACTCAGGCACAGCTGTAGAGATCGTGCTGCTCTGCGAAGCGTGCGGCTACGACATTGTCTTGGTCGAGAGCGTCGGCTTGGGCCAAAGCGAGATCATCATCGACGACACGGTCGATATGGTCATGCTTCTCGTGCCTCCCGCGGGCGGCGACGAGCTTCAAGGCAGCAAGAAGGCATCATGGAAATCGCCGACGTGGTCGTCGTCAACAAGGCCGACGGCGAGCTCAAGACGTACGATTCTCTGCTCGAATCGTCGATGTTAGCAAAGCCATTGCATGGTGTCTTCTAGGCCGGCCAAGCACACGGCGGTCGACTACATGCATGCGCTCCAGCTCGCGCGGCGCAAGGAGCCCGAGTGGAAGCCAACGGTCAAGATGTGTTCGGCGCGCGAAGGCGACGGCATCGACGCTGTCTGGGACGTCCTCACCGAATTTCGCAATACAATGAACGCTGTCCACAAGATTGAAGCCAAACGCGCGCGTCAGTCCTCCAAGTGGATGTGGAACCAGTTGCACCAAGAGCTCATGGCGATGGCCAAGAAGAACCACTTTGTCAAGCACGAAGCGTCGACGCTCGCGCCCGACCTCGCGCACGGCTTTATAAGCCCGCGGTCCGCGGCGCGGAAGCTCCTCGACGATTTTCTGGCCCACCCGAAAAACAACTAACAACGGCCTTGATGCCAACGCATCCCAACCCGAGGCCAAGATCGCAGATGCATACATACTAGTACAATGTTCGGTGGCTCGTCGACTCGTTGGCACCTCCTTCTGTTCCCGCAATCGTGACCTCCCTTCTGCCCACTACTGTCTGTACCATCTTCTTTTTATTTGGCCCGATGAGATTGGATTCGGCACATGCCGAATCCGCACTCAGATCTGGATGCCACCATGGCCTATATTTTGCACCAATCACAGCTCGTTGTTTTCAATGCGCGATATCGATTGGCTTGTTTCGGCCAATCAAACGCATCCCATTGCGTTCGCGATCCAAAAGATACGTTGGGACGAGGAGAGTATGCTACAATGGGGCTTAAATCATACGGACTTGGCAAGACTAATGGCCGAAAAGTGCGTGAGGGGATCCGCGTGGACGCGGGAGGTCGGCGTACTCGAGAGCACGACGAGCGGCGCCCGCGGGACGAGCGGAATGAGCGTCGCGCCAGACTTTTTAATGTGCAACGTCAGCTGCGGCTTTTTTCCTCAATGCACAGCCGCTTCGTCGGTGGACAGTTGGCGTTCGTGTTGGTAGCTGACGCCGCGTACCACGAGAGCACTTGGAGCGCGCAGACTTCGGCGTCGACAAGCGTCGAGACGCGCTCGCGTAGCACCGGCGACACGACCGTCGAGAGGAGCTCTTCTTGGGACGGAATGATCGACGAGTCGTCATTCGCGTTATCCCGTGGCTTGCGCGGCGGGCTGAGGTCGCCCATGTCCGTTTCTACAAGAGCAACATGATGATGGGGATATTGCATAGCGGCTATTTGTCGTACCGGCCTCGCTCGGCGCAGTGCTCGCGGCGTCGTCTTCGTCCGACATGTTGACGGGGTTCTCGACCTTCTCGCCTGAGAGCTGCATCTCGGCGTCTTTGGCCAACTTGGCAAAGTACTTTTGGGCGTGGCTCCGGATCTGCGCCGACGTCCGCGTCTTGATCTTGGACGCGACACGCTTCCACTCGCGGCCGTAGAGGTTGAGCCCGAGGAGGAAGCTCTCGTGCTCCTCGTCGGTCCAGCGCCCGCCGTTCATGCCCGAGTGCTTCTTGCTGGCGCTTGGCAGCTTCTTCTCCATCATCATTGGCACCGGCATCGACATCGACGTGCTGCTCGTTGTTGTTGTTGGTGGTGCGTCCATGCCTGGTTGCGCGCTGTGCGGATCCAAAACTCCTCTGAAGATATCCAAGGGTACGTAATATTTATATCCACCCCGCCAACTGCAATGCACGAGCATACAAACAGCAAGTGTTTGCCTCGGTATCCGCACTATGTGCAACGCGAAACGACCCGTGTCAGGCGCCAGTTACCAAGATATGCTGCGGATCTTGCCTGCTCTCCCGTAGCACGCGCCCGTAGCACGTGCCAGTACTACCACGTTGTGGAAAGGACGTCTAGTACGTCATGACGTCGTGTCGACGAGCAATCGAGTTGTTCGTCTTGACGCCATAAGTTCTTGTCAATAAGAATAGAGCACCGTCTATTGCTGATGGTCATTCCCCGACATTAGCTTTGTCAGCCCAGCTTTTACAATGAGGACGGTAGCTCCCGTGCTGTAGTAGCTCCTGAAAGGCTTTGTTCGCACGGCTTGGCCTCGAACGACGTGGTGACACCAGGGCCCACAGTATGAGAGGAGGGACACCGGCGGGACTCGAGCCACCTCTACCTGGTGGTAATACTAATACCAAACTAGAGTCCAAGCCGTTGATAATAGAGCTATTATAGGCTAGAGTCCGAGAGACATGGATAGACGAATCAACCGATTCAACACGTGCGACACGTATTACTTGGCCCTCATTGAACGGCATCAAGAAGCACCGCCAGCGCGCGACGACCACCGCCTCCTTCACGCCCGTGCCCGTACCACCGACTATGCGTCAGGACACACAACATCATTCAAAAGCGAATAGTATGAATTGGGTCGCGCTTAGGCCTTGGCGTCGTCGAGCTGGCACTTGGCAAACATGGCCATCGCGCCCTCGATCGCCACCTTTTCCTTCTGCAGCGCGTCCCACTTGGTTGCATCCGCGTCGCGGACGTTGGCCGGGACCTTCTCGAGGTAGTCGTCACGCGCGCGCTTCTTCTCGAGCGCCGTGAGCGACGGCAGCATCTTCTGAAGCTTCTTCTCGAGCTTGGTGATCTCGTTGGCAAAGTCCACAAGGCCCGTGAGCGACACGTGCAGCTGCAGCTTGTCGTTGAGCACGTGCATCGCGCAGCCCGACGGCGGCGCCGTCTCGAGCAAGCACGTGGTCGCGCCGACCTTGGCCAGCGTGCCAAAGTCATCGACCTGCGTCTCAATGATCGCCTTGAGCGACGCGTCCGTGCACTTGAGGTAGCAGAGCGGGCGGGCGGCGTTGGCGAGACCATACTCCGCGCGCAGCGAGCGGCCAGCGTGGATGATGTCCTTGATGAGCTCCATGTTGGCTTCGGCGGCCGGGTTGGCCCACGCGGCAATCGCACCCGTCGCTTCCGGGTACGCGGCAATCACGATACTCGACGTCGCGCGCTTGCCCGGGAGGCGCTGCCAGAGCTCTTCCGTCACAAACGGCATGATGGGGTGGAGAAGGCGCAGGCCCATTTCCAAGCAAAGGAACAAGGTTTCCTGCGCCGTCTTCTTGGCGTCCGCATCCTTGCCCGCAATGACGGGCTTGATGAGCTCGAGGTACACGTCACAGACGTCATAGAGCCAAAAGTTGTAGAGGGCCGTCGTGACCTCGCCAAACGAGTACGTCTGGAGCGCCGTGTTGGCCGCCACAATCGTCGCGTGGAGGCGGCTCAGAATGAAGCGGTCGCGGGGCGCCACCGACTTGTTCGAGAGCACGGTCGCCGCAAGACCGTCGTGGAAGGTCGCGCCGCCCTCGAGGTTGGTCATCGCAAACCGAGTCGCGTTCCAGAGCTTGTTGCAAAAGTTGCGGTAGCCCACGAGGCGCTGGATGTCCAAGTTGATGTCACCGACCTGCTGCTGGTACGCGAGGAGGCCAAAGCGAAGCGCGTCCGCGCCGCACTCGGGAATGCCCTGCGGAAAGTCGGCCATCTGGCCCTTCTTGGCCTTCTCGACCTCCTTGGGCGGGAGGTTGCCGCTCTCGAGCTTCTCGAGGAGCGTCTCGAGCGTGCAGCCCGCAATGACTTCGAGCGGGTCGACCACGTTGCCGAGCGACTTGGACATCTTGCGACCATACTTGTCACGGACGATCGAGTGCAAATACACCGTGTGGAACGGCAGCTTGCCCGTGAGCTTTTGGCCCATAAAGACCATGCGCACGACCCAGAAGAAGAGGATATCGTAGCCCGTCTCGAGGAGGTCGGTCGGGTAGTAGTCGGCCATCTCTTCCTTGTTGTCGGGCCAGCCAAAGACTGCAAACGGGAAGAGACCGGCCGAGACCCACGTGTCGAGCACGTCGTCGTCCTGCTTGAGCTCGATTTCGGCCTCGGGCACCTGGAGCTTCGCGGCCGCCTTGGCGCGCGCATCGGCCTCGGACGTGCCGGCCACCCACCGGTGGACGTTGGCCTCCGAGTTGGGGTCGACAAACGGCTCGTTCTTGATCGTTGCAAAGTAGGCGGGAATGCGATGGCCCCACCAGAGCTGGCGCGAGATGCACCAGTCGCGGATGTTTTCGAGCCAGCGGAACCACGTCTTCTCGTGGTGCTCGGGCAGAATCGTGAGCTCCTTGTTGCGCACGGCAGCCATCGCATCGTCGGCCATTTGCTGGCAGTTGACAAACCACTGGGGCTTGACGAGCGGCTCGACAATGTCACCCGAGCGCGAGCAAATGCCGAGACGCATCTTGTTGTCGGCCTTGCCGTGGAAGAGCCCCTTCTCGGCGAGCGCCTTCTCCATGGCCACACGGGCGTCGTAGCGCATCATGCCCTCAAAGAGCGAACCGCCGTTCGGGTTGATCTTGCCGTCGTCGTCAATGACCGTGATGAACTCGAGGTTGTGGCGCTTGCCGCACTCGTAATCGTTCGGGTCGTGGGCCGGCGTGATCTTGACCGCGCCCGTACCAAAGCTCATGTCGACGAGCTCGGCGTCGCAAATGATCGGGATGCGACGGTTGTTGAACGGATGCACGACAAACTTGCCGTGGAGGTGCTTGTAGCGCGGGTCCTCCGGGTGGATCGCGACGGCCGAGTCGCCGAGCATCGTCTCGAGACGCGTGGTGGCCACGATGAGCTGCTCGGTCGAGTTCTCGACCGGGTACGCAAACGATGTGATGACGCCAAACTCGTACTTGCGGTCCGGGTTGTGGCCCGGCACCGCGAGCTTCGTGCGGCCCTCGAGGTCGAGATAGTCGACCTCAATGTCGGAAATCGCCGTCTTGAGCTTGCAGCTCCAGTTGATCATGCGCGTTGCGCGGTAGATGAGGCCTTCGTCAAAGAGCTGGTTGAAGGCCGAGACCGTCGCACGCGTGCAGCGGTCGTCCATCGAAAAGTACGCGCGTTCCCAGTCGACCGAGCAGCCGACCTTGCGGAACTGGTGGTGGATCCGCGTCTCGTACTCGTTCTTCCACTCCCAGACGCGGTCCAAGAACGCGTCGCGACCAAGGTCGTGGCGCGACTTGCCCTCGTCCTTCATGAGGCGCTTCTCGACGACCGACTAGAGAGATACATGCATGTGATGAGAGGGGCAAGACGAGGATGGGAGATGGGAGTACCTGCGTCGCAATACCGGCGTGATCGGTACCGGGCACCCACAGCGTCGCGTGGCCCAACATGCGGTGCCAGCGCGTCAGCGTATCTTGGACGGCGACCGTGAGCGCATGGCCCAAATGGAGCGAGCCCGTGACGTTGGGCGGCGGAATCACCATGACGAAGCGCTTGTCCTTGGGCGCGTTCTTGATCTTGGCGTCGTCGCAGCGGAAGTAGCCTTCCTTCTCCCACCACGCCTGCCACGCCGCCTCGACGGCCACCGGCTGGTAGCCCGCCGCCATCTCGGTCGTCATGTCCTTCTTCTCGCCGGCCGGCGTGAGGTTCACAAACACCTGCTCCGGCGCGACTTCCTTCACGGGCTTGACCTCCTTCTCCTTCTTGGGCGCCCAGCGGTTCGGGTCCTTCTCCTTGGCCGGCTTGAGCTTGCCCTTCTCGGCCTTCTTCTGCGCCTTCTTGCTCAGCTTCTCGCCCTCGGGCTGCGCCGGCGCGGGCGCGGCTGCGCTCGGGGTCTCCATGCTTGCTGTTTCGGAAATCTTCGACTGGCTGAGAGGCGGCCCCGAGAGCTCGGGAGCAGAAAGGCGCACCTCTTCGGCCTCTTTCCGCACCCCAAAAGGGCGAAATACGGGATTGGGTGCGTATTTGACCCATAGAAATTTCTTTTGAGCGGTCGGGGCCGCAGGTCAAATCCCACCGAGATGCTGTTTAAACGCGTTTTAGAACACGATCCGGCGCAGATGGCGACGACGACGACGTTATCGCAGCGTGTTGGTCGAATGCGATGGATCTTTCATCATGAACCTCCTTTGCCACGCGTTGGTGGATCCTAACGGAGTGCGTGGCCGCTTCAAGGATGCGGTCCCGAAGGACAAACCTCTCCATGGTGCTAAAACGCAATGTTTAAACCTAGTTTAACCGGTAGGTCCTGGCCACAAGGTACCGGTACATGTAGAAGCAGCATCATTCATTCACAGAGCGCATTCCCAGGAGGGACAGACGCCCGTGATCCTCTCGTGGTTTGAAAGAAATGGAGCCGCCTCCTCGAAGGCGCGGAACATTCTTGCCGCTGGAGCAGCGCCCGTCTTGGATGGGAGTGCGAGAGGTCAGTCTGGATCCAAGTGGCGCCAGCGCTGGCGATGATTCCCATCCTCTCGCTCTCTAACGTGCATACCGTCGGCAGGAAATATACCACGCCATCCTGTCAGTCTATCCTATAAGCTTGAAAGCGTTCGCTTTATGCGTCAAACGTCATCTGTGCTCCTCACCTTGCGGCTCTCTATCTCTGTAGTCCTGGTGTATTACATCAGGATAATCCATGGTCCTCGGTCAATGATTTTCATAGATTCTCTTTGTGCGACGAGAGGCTGCCACGTCATATGGCCGTTACGGTTGGATACGGCTCATGACCAAAGCGGAGTTGGCAACCTGGTCGGCCAAAGCTGGTCGGCAGTCCCGATTCGTTGCAGAAACGATTTACGAGTGTCCTGTCCGCAGGCAACAGGATCCCGCAAAGCGTACGAAAATATATAAGAGTTAAATAAGAAGACGAGATCCGCTTCGTCGAGCCTAGGCTTCGATGTAGCGCAGTTTGGAGAGTGCTTTCTTTGGTGGCACGGCGTCTTTTAAGCAGTAGGCGCCTGGATAAGCTTGGGCGCGTCGCAGGTCGGCAACAAGAGCGGCGTGGTCGCAGTACGTCGCCAGCTCGATCGCGTCGTCGGTCGCATAATTCGGACGGCAACGCAGCCAGCGCTTGAGCGTGTGGGCGTCGCCTTGCAGAATCGAGAGGTGGAATGCAAACGTGGCTTGGTTCGTCGGCTCAATATGGCCAAAGAACGCGTACATCGACTGTTGGGCCATGTAGTCGGAGAGCAGCTGCGGGCGCGGCGCGGCAAAGGTCTTTTTGTGCAGCATCTCTAGCCACGCCGACGACGCCGTCGCAACATGGGCTTGGAGATCGTGGTAGAGGCCGCCTTGGTACTCGGCGATCAAATGGAAAAGGTCCGTGTTGCGCAGGACGACGTGGGCACTGATAGTTTTACTGTGATGCGGCATACTAATACAAGCAAGGGCGTGGAGATTACTAAATGCGGTGCGTGGAATTTGGCTTCTTTTGCGTGTCTGTCGCACATGGGTTTGAATGGTGTCGAGGCCCGCGGCTCTGTGTTACGAATCTTCAAGACGTCGTATACAAGCAGCAAGTGATCGACCACGTGTCCCAACACGCCGCCAAATTTCAGTTTGTTGCAACACGGCGACGGGCCATGGTGGCGACAGTGTGTGCAAGTCGACCATGCCACAACCAACCAAACTGTCCCATGCCTTGATACATACCAGTAGTCTCCAGCACCTCGCTCCGGGCACTGCGCTCCGGGCAGCAAATGCGCTCGGATCTCCTTTCGTGATTCCCCTGACGTAGGGTACATTGTTGTCCTTTCTTTTTGATGTCGACTAGGCGTTTCATCGAAACTGGCAATAATTGTCGATTCTACCGTCCTAAAAACCGCGTTGAACCACACACGTGGCGCCCTGAGTGACTTTAACCGCACTGCTCCCACAGATGACAGGTTCTGACTAATAGCACCAGCAAGGGAAGAAAACAAATGTTTTTATTCCCTGGAGCACCACCGACGCAACCACTCGGCTTTTTCCGTCCCCACGAACCATATATCGCTCTCGACGACTCGATGGCAGAGGCGTTGACGTGCCAACGACGTGGTTTTGCGACGGCACTGCAACTGCAAGGACAGATCCCGAACGATGGGTGTCTGCAACGGCGCATGTCCATCCAGACGCACGCGAATCGACAGGCGGCGGCGCTAACCGAGCGCGTCTCGCTCACGTAAAATGGGTTGCCAACGCTCCATGTCACCTCCACAATCGACTTTAACGCAACGCGAACGACCTCGACGTGGCCTTGGGCGGCGCTTGAAGTTGCGGCAGTGTGACATGGGTCTCGGATTGCATACGCGTCGGTGTGTTGTGGGAGCGGACGCGAGAACGCGCGCGCGTCTTTGTCAAGCCTGTCTGGCAAGACGCCAAAATTACCGGCCCCATGAGTACCAGCGTGATAAGCATCTCTTGCTGAGTTTGGTCTTGCAAACTTGATTTCAGCGACATTCGAACGCCGACGCGTTGATTTGAGTGGCTCATGGCTTGATTCTTTGATTTTTTTCGAGCTCTCGCGATAAAACGCTGTCTCTAGACCCCTTGGGTCCTCGCACTAGTGTTGGCGCATCCGTTCGTTCGTTCAGTGCTGGCGGTCCATGTGACACGATCGACACTTCACCTGTCGATCTGGCAATATTGCCACATATCGAGATTGACACACACACAGTATCCAACCAAATACAGAGTTGGCACACGTTAAAACCTGCTAACATGGGCTTTAGTTGCGCGCAACGTTGCACGTGCCCGTGCACGTGGCAGGAAACTGGCCGCCGTACGAAGCGCCCGTCAATTGCATGTACCCCGTCGGCACGATCTCGACGTAGGCACCGTTGGTGATACCGACGCCCGACGCCTGGAACGAAATGACGCACGTCGACGCCTTGCCCTGGTACGAAATCGTCATCTTTTGGTCGCACGACGGCGCCCAGCCCGCGCCCGGCGGCTTGGGCGACCCGCAAAACACTGTGCCCGCGGGCCAGCGCGACTGGATGCCGGGGCAGTCGACACCGACGTGGTCCGGCACGGCGAGGTTGACGATGATGGGCACGCCGCTCGGGGGGTTGGTTGGCGCCACGGTCAGGCTCGGGCCGTTGGACGAGCCGCAGACGCCCGAGTCGCAAAAGCCAGCGCCGTTGCCGCACCAGCCGTACTTGCTGCAGCACGGATACGCCGAGTTCTTGTTGCAGTCGGCGTTGCTAAACTCGGGGCCGCAACGACCGTCGGCACGCGGCGCATTCGGGCACGTCGAGCTCGACGGCGGCGCAGACCCGCACACGTTGTTGTTGTTGTTGCAAAAGTCGGCGCCATTGCCGCACCAGCCGTACTTGCTGCAGCACGGGTATGCCGAGTTGCGGTTGCAGTCGGCGTTGCCGAACTCGGCGCCGCAACGACCGTCGGGGCGGGGGAGTTTGGGCACGGTTGGGCCGACGCAAGGCCGAGGATCGTGCAGAGAGCGAGAAGCGTGAGGTGAACCATAGGAGGCAAATTAAAAAGTGAGAGAGGACATGGTTGGTCTTGTACAACACGACGGCAAAGCGTCGTGGTATGCGTCTCAGATACGCGCCTACATGTACACTGTAGACTCGAATCTCAATTCTGTCGAACCCAATAAGACAAATACCACTCGGTTCTTAGGCGATGGCGTCGGGTTACAGTGAAATCGAACCACAATTTGACGGCAGAAAAGATCGAGTAATACATGTCAACCTCGTACCTGCACCTTTTCTATTGCGCGTGAGCTCGAGACCCTCGACGCGAAACGTTGCATTCGATAAAAACACAACTAGACGACATATTGTACATATATCAATATGTACTAGTCTATCACGGAAATATCGACTGTAGTAAGCACCGGAACGGGGGCAAAGATCGTAGCCAACACAGGACCCAATATGGCGCCACAACATGTGTTGGGTGCCACATTGGTCCTCTTCTTGACTCGAAGTTACTTGAATTGAGCTTAAATTGAGTTGAAGTTTAAGCATCCGAAATAAGCAGCACTTGAGAGTCCATTGAGAGTGCACCACTGTATTACGCTCCTTTAGAAACCAAAGGCTCCTGGCAAAGTCAGTAGAAGAACTAAGGTGAATGACTGTTCAAGGGCGTATTCCGTTGAACAAAACAACGAATGGGCTTTTCCCTCGCGGCGACTATGGACGTCCGACTGACCGGCTTCCGACAGCGACCGCAATTTGACTGGCGTGTACTTCCAGTGCAACACCTTGGCGTTCCAGAGACCTTCTACGAGCACCCGGGCAGAGCGGCCTATTTATACCCACCTCTATGGCTGTCAGCCCACGTCCCTTCACGATACGGTGACTTCCTGTACCGGGTCGCGCTGAAAGCCGTGGCCGCCCGAGCCAGTTTGCACTTTCTCGGTCACGGTGCTCGACACTGCCTTTTCTGGGATGCACAAGCCTGCGAAACGTACGATCATCTTTTGGTGCGGTGCCCATAGGTCCGAGCGATCTGGCGCGCTTTTGCACCGATGCGGGGCATTTTGCACATGAACGTCGTCGGTCGCCGGCTTTCTCTACGACGATGTCGCCGTACCGTACTCGGCCCACAAGTCCTCCATTCACGCCTTCTGGTCGATCTTACGTGCTTGCGTCTGGTATTGTCTTTGGCTCGAACGCAACAACCGTGTCTTCCGCTTGACGCTGACGCAACCGCGCTCGCGATCCAGGCAGCTACTATAGAACGATTGCACGTCCGGCACTTGGCTTGTCGCGCTGTGGTGCCATTTCTTGATGCTGGTCGCTCTCCGCGACGATCCTTGGTGTGCACGCTACCTGGACCCGCACAATCTCGAGCCACGACCACTAACGCTCCTCGCTGAAGCACCGGCCAAGCCTCACAAGCGCATTAGGAAGTCCACAATATCTTTCAGAATCAATACAACTCCGTTCAGCAACGAATGGGCTATTTTTACGCAACTCAGACGTCTCAGTCCTCGTATGCACTTGCCAACCGTCAATGCGTGGCTACCACTCGACGGTGGTTATCATCTGTTTGCGTGCACCGACACACGGCACCTACCTAGCCTATTCGAATGCAGCCAGTACAATGTTCAACTGTGTGGGGTTCTCGGTTTGCTACTATTGGAACATCACGAGAGATTCTTCTTCACACTGTCAGTACTCCTTAGATGCGCTGCACGACGAGACAAAAAACTCTTCAAATAACATGGCTACCGATGTGCACCGGTTCTTGTTCCAGACTGAGCCGTCGATCGAACCTTTACACAACGCCGTTTGGGTATTTATAATCTCGCGTCGGGCGCATGGTGTACGTCGCCTCACACTCTGGAATTGGCATGGGATGGCGACCAACAAGTACGCCGTCGCTGTACTCACCACGTCTAAGCCGACGTTTTGGACGTACGCACATCGAGCGCACGCTTTTCAGTCGCTGCCACCAGTCTCTTTGTCGTGCTCCTCGTCTCCGGCGACGCGATCATCAACAACTGGGCCCTCGTCAACTTTATGGGCGGTGGCTACTTCTTCGTGACACCGATCGCCGCGGCGACGAGCTTGGACTCGCTCGGGACGCAGTACAGCTTTGCAGCCGACATGGGCCTTCAAGACCTCTCGAAAAGTGGCCGCTGGATGAGCAGCTTTACGGTGACGCACCTGGTTGCGAAAAGCGACAAGATTTACGTGATTGCGGCAGGCGACATTCCACTCACGCCCAGCACGGTCTTGTGTCCGATCTTCGAGGCTCGCTACGCCGTCAACTTTGACGCGACGAACGGGCGGGTGCACCTCGCTCTCGCGTCCGACGCCGTGTCGTTCTTCCGCGGCAATGCGCTCAGCCATGCGTTCACGGACGATGACAGCGCCAACCTCGCCAATGCATCCATGAGTGCCCACGAGCTTTACGCCCTCAACTATGTGCCCGGGCGCGTCACCGTGGACAAGCGCTTTACGAACGAGATCCAGCTACGCAATACATCCGCGCCGCAAACCCACATCGTCTCGTACTACCGCATCTTCTCTCGGTCGTTCTGCACCGGCTGTAACCCTGTCGCCGAGCTTGGGTATGGCAGCTGCAACTTTACAATGATGTACAACGACAGCGCCAAGGCGGTCACGGTCATTAACAGCACCTTTGTGCCCGGGTCTCTTTACAAGCTTGGATTTATCATACCCCACACCTTCTTGGGTGAGCTCGCGCTGGCGGCAAAGTCGATTGCAATCGCCTTTGCGATCCTTGGGTACCTCGCCAGTCGGCGCACGGTGCAGTGGCCGGACGCGACCCACGTCGAGTCGAGCATCGCCAAGGCGCTGCGCACCATCGTGCCCAAGTGCTTCCCGTACCCAAGCCACGCACTCAGCTACAGCATGTTTTGCTACAACTCGGATTGGTTTGTCATTCTGTACGCGTTTAGTGTGCTCATTGACATCCAAAATTGCCTCTTGTACGTCCGCAACGTCAACTTGTACACGATGTACGCGCTACAGTTTGGATACTCGCTGCAGCTCTTTGCGCTGAGCTCCCGCCTCTTGTGGGTCAACTGCGCGATTCTCAAGTGCACCAAAGGGCTCGTCCATATGCTGAGCATCGCACAGCACGCAGGCGAGAGCCGATTCGTCGGCTTTTGCAACCTCAGCAGTGTCTCGTGGCTCTACGCCAGTGCCATCGCGCTCTTTTACGTGCCGCCGTTTATCGAATACAACAACAGCATCATGATCAACCTCACCAATGCCCGCGAGCGCATCGACGGCATCTGCGTCGACGTCTACGATGGCTTTTACATGCGCGTCGCGACGTCAATTGCCGTGGGACTTGTCGCCAACATCTTCGTCGTCACGGGCCTCAACCACGTGTGCCGCTACAACTACTGGCAGCTCGTGGCAAAGAACAGTCTGGCGCGCCAAGCTGTCTTTAACAGCAGCTCGATCGTGTGCGACTACCTCGATGGACTCCAAGCAAATGGCGACGGCTCCATTTTTGTGCTGCATGCTCGCCGATTTAGCACGCTTCAGTGGTTTTTCTCGAGCCACTTGACGCTGTTCGGGCTGCCCGAGAAAGGGCTACGTGCCAAGAAGCAGCAAGTCGCCACGCAGCAGTCGCAATATGCGCCGTCCGCACGGTCTGCTAGCGCTGCGATTGCGTGTAGCACGGCTGCAGCCAATGCAAACAACACGGGAGACGACGCGCGCGATTGTCGTGTCGTCCAAAACGGCGACGCGGCGCTGCATCTTCTCGATGGGCAGTTGACCGAGGTCTCGAGCCTTGCGTTCAACATCAAACTGCTCAAGAATCTCACCGTGACGGTCAAATAGCAACCACTTTGTCATTGACTATTAGTACTGTAGCGGTGCATTCAATCATCGCACGATAATACTTGACCATGTGGCATCCGTTCTCTAGCACACACCACGGATGCTGTATGGTCACGACCTACGTTCCTGAATAACGGGGAGAAAAAGCGGTGTCGTAGTGCATGCAGTCGCAAAAGATGTAGTACTCTTCGCAACGTGTGGGGCGCGTACAAAGGGACGACGTGGATGGGATTACTGTACATTGTTTACATTTATGTATATCAAACGACATTGGACATCTGTTGAACTCGCCAGCATTTGGACGCGGTTGGCTCGCTACAGCGCCAGAAATGCGCACACGAGGTCTTAGAGGGTGATAGAGAGGATGAGAGAGTGAGACCACTCTCACGCTCTCTCTTTAATGTCCGACTGTGCTGCAGCCTGTTGTGTGTGGATCAAAGGCTAAGCCATGTCCAACCAATGCAAACTTCCTAGAATAGTCATCCGGTAGACATGGGGATACTGTAGCTCCTGTAGCTCACTTCATATTTGCCTTCGTGGTGTAAGCCCAATACAACTGCCTGCTTCACGGGAGACGGCTCTCCCCTCGCTGCTGTTTGTGTTTGCACCGCGGGCGCTATCACAAGCCCAGCCCAGGAAAGCGGGGCAAACCAAACCACCGATACAACTGGCTGCATTCAGGGTGGGCCACCGCGTCCGTCGTAATCGCCACCCGTGGTGTGGCAGTCGGCGTCGGCTGTACGGTGACACATTACAGCAGACGCTCGGGTTGCAGTGTCTGTCGGTGCCGCCGCATCAGCCCTACTGGCTGCAGCTCTTGTACACTGTAGATCGAGTTGTAGTCGCAGTCGGCGCGCCCGAAGCTCGGGCCACAGTACTGTTTTTGGGTAAGGCGCTGGGGCAAGTGACACTAATGCGGCGGCCGTCGGTGCATGTGTTGGCACGGGCGTCGGCGTTTCATCTGCGCCGCAGACATTTCGGTTGCAGCCGCTGCATTCCACTGGACGTTATGGACTGTGTACATTGGCTCTACCAGCGCGCAAGGCAATCGGTGTGTGACATTGGTGAGTCTGGGCTGCGCTCCCAGGCTAGTGCTTCGAGCCAAGTGTTGCAGCCTTGTCGAGCTAGCCAAACGCGCGTACGCAGAGACGACATGTACTCGCCCATGTACTCGCCAAGCCTAACGTTAGAATGAAGCCGCCTGACTGGTGCTGGCTATAGACGACCAGAAGGAATCGAAACAAGACATGTTCAAAACTCTCCACAAGATAAGAGTCCTCGTGGCTGCTCTGATATGCAGTGTCTTGCCCAATCCATGCACGAAATGCGAGCCGACAAAAGCCGCAGAGGCGTTAGGTACCGATTGCTCATGCAGTCCCGAGCAAGGATGCACTAATGACACTTCAGTCGCATGACGTAGCGTAGAATGGTATAGGCGGCCTTCTTGGTCCGTTCGACAAGTCTTTGTTGCATCGGCACACGCAAGCGCCTCTGAAGGGTCCGTCGAAAGCATTTCCCTTAATTAGACCGCACGTGTCCATTCCAAAAGCGACCAGTCCGACGACTCTTCAGTTCAGTGGGGCTGCTCACACGTGCCTACGTGACGCGTGCCGTGCATTTTAGGCGACCCTGACCCTGATGCGGCATCTGATGCTGCTCGTAAAACGAGTGGGATGGGAAGCCCATCGCGAGCGTATACGCAGGCGCCGACGGACCGCAATAGCGCACCCACTGACTGTAAACTTGCACCACCAGTGTAGTGTACCAAGGTAGTGTAGTAGCATGCGTAGTGTATGGACTGGGTATGTATGACGAAATCGTCCTCGCGCGATGGTTCTCCGTGGCGGGCGAAGAAAGGCCATCAAGCCAGTTGTCACATTGCACTTGACCATCCGGATAAGCGCGGTTATCCACCGTGTCGCATCGGTGGCCTGGACCTGGACAGGGTGGAGGGTTCTCTCGAGTATTACGAGAGCACCGTCGTCATTCAGGCACCATGATTTAGGTCTTATAGTTGCACTACCCTCTGGCGTCTTGGTGTTGGCAGCGTTCGTCGCCGCGATCCAGACCACTGGCGCCACGAAGGTCAACGGGGTGGGCCACGTGTCGAGTGGCGACAGCCGACCTCTCGCAAAGGTAGAGCCCTGGGGAGAGCCTGCGAGTGATAGCAACCCGTCGTACGGTACAGCACCAGATCCAAAGCACCGAAAGGCTCATTTTGCACACGTAGAGACACTATTAATACAAACAGGGCGTTGGGCCACTTTGCAGTTGGTCGAGGTTGTCCATGCCAGCTGCGCAAGCAAACAGTAGACGCGCACAGCGTTGCGTCCACGATCCAAGCAGCGCTCTGTGTGTAGCATCACCAAAGTGCGTGAACATGGCTGGGATGGTGGCCTGTTTTTGGGCACTTTGTGGGAAATGGCGTATCTTTGTATCCGGATGGTGCCCGGGATTGGCCGTCGCAGGATGTGCAAATGGCGGCTGTAATCGCTGGCTACTCGGTCACTTTTGGACCTATCATGGCACGCGACGACACGAACGAGGCCTCGTCCTCGACGCTCATCGTCGTCGTCATCGTCTGCACCGTCGTCATCGTCTTGACGCTGGTCGGTCTCTTTCTCTATTGGCGCAAGAAGCACGCACGGTCGCAGGGCCTCTTGCCGCAGGTCTACGAGCTCCAGCAGCCCTTCGACGACCACATCATCATGGGCCCACCGACGCTGTCGCCGCCCTCGAGTCGTCCACCAATGATGTCGCCGCGCAAGCCGATTGCCATCAACAGCACGAACAGCAGCAACAACAATCGCAACCACAGCAGCCCATTGAAGAACAGTAGCCAGCCCGACGGGAGCGAGCGCAACAAGCCCGGGTCGCAAGGCTCGGCCAACAACTCGGACAAGCCGACCGTGCCGCACCAAGGGCACCGGTCGTCGTCGACGGAGCCTCCCAAGCCCAACGCCACCGACTCGGCGTTCTCCGAAGTCGACGACGCGCTCGATGACTTTGATCCGAAATGGCGGCTGCCAAAAGCCAGCGTCGTCATCACGGCGCGGGTTGCCAAAGGTGCATTTGGTGAAGTCTTCCTGGGCACATACCTCGGCGAAACGACGGTCGCGGTCAAGTCGGTTTTGAAGGAGAAGCGTAAGCTCAAGGTCATCCAAGCGTTCATCGAAGAGATCAAGCTCATGGCGCGGCTCGACTCGCCTTACGTGGTTCGTTTTTACGGCGCCATCTACTCGCACCCGTCGCGCATTCGCTGCGTCATGGAGTACATGGACTCGGGCGACTTGAAGGATTTTCTCAAAGTTCACCCGCGCGCGCACGTGAATTGGGCGTGGAAGCTCGAGATTGCCCTTTGCATTGCAAAGGGACTCGTGTACCTGCACGAGCTGCCCGTGATCCACCGCGATCTCAAGTCGCGCAACATCCTCATGGACTCGCACATGGGCTCCAAGCTCTCGGACTTTGGCGTCTCGCGCGAAGAGACGACCGAGACCATGACCCGGGGCGTCGGCACGTACCGCTGGATGGCGCCCGAAGTGCTCAAGGACGGCCATTACAGCGTCGCCGCTGACATCTTTTCGTTTGGCGTGATTCTAACCGAGCTCGATACGCACCAGATCCCGTACCTGGACAAGCGCGACGCCAAAGGCAAGATGCTCTCGGACGCCAACCTCATTGCGCAGGTGCTCCGGGGCACGATGAAACCGAGCTTCACGTCCGACTGTCCGCCGTGGGTCCGCGTCCTCGCGCTTCAGTGCATGTCCAACGACCCGAGCATGCGCCCGACAGCGGCAGACCTCGCCGTCGGTCTCCAACAACGCCTTGATGTCGAAAAATCCCAAATGTAAACATATTTTAGATGCCTTTGTTGTTGTGGTGTTGGCTGCATTGTGGTGTAAAACATGTGCAAACCGCTGGGCCTTACACCATGGCAGCTCCATCGAGCCGCAGGCTACTGGGCAGCTGAGATGCAGTGTGGACCGAGAAGTATGATAGCCCATCATCGGTTGCAGTATCAGTTCGTCAAGCAATGCGTATAAGCTCGCACCAAAAAGAATGTGAACGGATCGCGCAGAAATAGTACCCCGCGCGATGCGGGGGACGATGCCCTAGGTGGCGTACAAGGGACTTTTGATGGGGCGAGTACAATTGGTGGTGCCTGAACTGCATCGTGCGTCGCTGCTTGTGGCGTCTCATCAAGAGCACTAGGCTCTTAATCGAATGAGTTCATGCAGCTGCGAGTCGAGTTCGTTCATGTTCCCTGGCGCGGCATGCAGAAGAAGGTTGCTTGCGCATTCGAATCGACGCGACGGGGTCAGGTGTTCGCACAGGATCTCCACCGTCGGCATATTCAGATCAAAAGCAGCTCGATTTATGACGGCACCGCCTGTGACGGCATCATCGATCATGCGACGGTGGAATGACGGCATACAAATTCTCCACATCTCTAGGGACGCACAAAAGCAGCCCGAGAACCATGATGGCACCATCTGCGACCGCCGTCATCGGTCCAGCAAGGCCGTGAACCGACGACCATCGCAGCCGATCGCGCTGCGTATCAAGGCCGCTCGCGCCGCTGGAGTTTAAACAGCTGTGCAAGATATTCTCGTTGTGAGCTGTGTAGTATGAATCTCGCACGCTCCAGCTCTCTCTACTACTGGTACCGGTATTATAGTCACTTGCACCCTCAGATTGGAGGACGCACCAAGATCGCCACGTGTGTCGATTTGAAATCAGGAATAATCACGCTGGCATCGATTACAAGCACTCGTACACTATTCATACATTCTAATATAGTGTTATATAGTGGCCACGAGCACCCCGGTGCGTTCTTGCTTGCCGGTGACTAGGAACGATGATTCACGCAACGCCTCACTTCACTAGTGGATCTCGCCGTCGGGCGCAATGTACCAAGCAATGCCTTCGATTGCCTTTAGCGAAAACGACCATCACACACTATATCCAAAAAAGGCTCGTATCCTCGTGCCCGAAAAATACCTAATTAGGCTCGCGACCCCAGCCCCTGCCACGCTTTCAATTGATTTCACGACAATCCATATAAATACTAGATTATCTTTAAACATGGCAATAAAAATACACATCAGCAACTTCAACGCAATCGATCACTTTGCCTTTTCAACTCGATCCCTCAAGCATGGTCCCGACGCCCGAGCTGCCGCCCATTCCGAGCGACTACGACTGGGAACAGTTCCGCGCCAACGCCCACGCGACCATCGACTTTATTGTCGACTACCAAAAGCAGCTGCACGCGCGCCAGATTCCCGTCTTGCCGTCGTGCCAGCCCGGCGACTTGCGCCGGGCCTTGGCCGCGAAGGCGCCGGAGCACCCGGTCGCGTGGTCGCAGATCATGGCCGACGTCCAGACGCAAGTCGTGCCCCGCATGACGCACTGGCAGCACCCGGATTTCTACGCGTACTTTCCATCGATGGCTGCACCCTCTGCGATCCTCGGCGACATGATGGCGAGTGCGATGAACCAGCCGGGCTTCAACTGGATCTGCTCGCCCGCGGCAACGGAGCTCGAGCTGCACGTCATGGACTGGCTCCGCGACGCGTTTGAGCTGCCCGAGTCCATGTCGTGGGGTAGCTCTGGCGGTGGCGTCATGCAGCCGAGCGCGACCGAAGGCATGATCGTCGCTCAAGTCTCGGCCCGCACGCGCAAGCTCGCGTCCAACCCCGACATGACACTCAATGCGCTCGTGAGCTACTACAGCGATCAGTCCCACTTTTGCGTCGAGAAGGCGAGCAAGGTCCTCGGTGTCACCCACTTGCGCAAGATTGCGTCCGTGTACGACGACGCGACGGGCAACTACGCGATGGACTCTGCGCTCCTCGAGGCGACCATGGCCGCCGACGTTGCGAATGGCCTTGTGCCGTTCTTTGTCTCGGCCAACTTTGGCGCCACCGGCGTCTGCGCGATCGACGACGTCCCGGCGATCGCCGCGGTTGCCTTCAAGTACGACGCGTGGCTCAACCTCGATGCGGCGTACGCTGGTGTCGTCGCGATCCTCCCCGAGATGCGCCCGCTCCTCCGCGGTCTCGACCTCGTCGACTCGGTGCTGATCAACGGCTCGAAATGGTTCAACCTCCTCTTCAACTCGAGCTTTATGTTTTTCACGCAAAAAGAGTACGTGGTCCGGGCGCTCAACGCGACCGGGTCGTACCTCGAGAACAAGCACACGGCCGAGAACAAGGTGTTTGATCTCAAGGACTACCAGCTCGGCCTTGGTCGGCCGTTCCGCAGCTTGAAAGCGTACTGCACGATCAACAGCATGGGGCTCCAAGGCTTCCGTGACGTGCTCTCGCGCCATATTTCGCTCGCCAAGTACCTCGCGTCGGGCCTCTCGGCTACGAACCGGATTGAGATTGTGCGCCAAGTCGACTTTGGGCTCGTCTGCTTTCGCGTCAAGGACGCCGATGATGCGGCGAACATGGCGGTCATGGAGCGCCTCAACCAGACCGAAGGCATCCACTTTGTGCACACGGTGACCGCGCACCACGGTGTCGTCCTCCGCATCGCGCTCTGCCACCCGCAGCTGACGACGGCGGACATGGACGGTCTTGTTGCCAAGATCGTGCGCTGCCTTCCGTAGTAATTTTGTTGACCGAGATATAATGCATGGTTTTGTCGATTGATTGTGTTGCCGATGGCGGGTTAGGGCACGCTTGTGCCGGTCGATGTACCGGTAAACCCCACGCCCACACTACTACTGTAGTACGTCCGAGGATTGAACATCTAGTTGCGACGGCCGCTAGCCTCGCGAGGTACATATGTAGGTCGTTGCGACCTCGCTGTTTACCGCCTCGCTAAGAGGCTGCACCTTGTCTTTAGGTTGCATTTTGGCGTTGAAAGACGTGTTTAAGAAGTCAGTTTATTCGTTAAGAGAGACGACGTCGACTGTAAAAGCACAGACAACAGGGTAGTTTTGTCTACGGAGGGCACGGGACCGGGACGCTGCTGACGCCGTGGATCGCGCCCGACACGGCGTAATCTTGAAAGACCGCAAACGCCTTGCGCGAAATCTCCAAGTCGAAAAATTGTCGACGGCGACCTCGACGTCTACACCTCGTGTGACTTATCATCATCGCAGGCCAGTCAAATGTACCGATGACTTGAACTGTGACGTTGGCCGCGTTGTTCCAGAGACGAAAGCAGTGCCCACACGAGTTGCTCGTGTCGTTCGCGGACCGGAACGCGTACGCGGTGAAGCCTTGTCGGACGAGTTCCGAGTCGGCGCGAGGGCACGCAGAGTTGGCTACAAATCGGCGCGTCAATAATCACCCAGAATCCTTGATGATCGTACCATGGGAGCGGTCGACCCACTCGATCGAGATGGACATGTGGGCAAGCTCCTGCGCCGCGACAAGTGCGGCCGACGAGAGGGCGAGCGTAAGGAACGAGCGAAGCATGATGCGGATGGTGGCGAGTTGGGTTGTGAGTTGTCGACACCGCGCCATCCTGGTCGGCCCGCCATCTTCGATCGTAAATTTAGCTACGTGGAGAGTGAAAATAGAAAGGGCGGCTGCTTTGCCAGGTGGAAATAGCCACCAACCATGACCGGCGAAGGTTAAACCGCGCATCTAAATCAAAACGGTCGGACCGATTTGCGCTTCCATCGACCCATCCATCTCGCGAGCTCGCTATCTACAAAACTCCAATGCGGGAAGATGACTCGAGGACGTGTTCGACGTGTACGGTGCTGTTTACATCCGTACTAGTAGTCAGCACGATATTGAGCTGACGGATCACTGGTAGCCGTTTAAAGAACGAGGGTACTTGAAAGTAAGATAATGCTCGGGGTAAGGCGAACGCTATCAGGAAAGTTACACGGAAGAATATGGCACGGCGGCTGGCGCGCCCTTCTGGATTCCCTGAAGCTGCACCGTCGGCACGAGCACGGTAGAGCTCGCCGCAGCAAATTTGACGTTCGAGACGTCGGCGTCGGCGGCGGATGTGGCGGCAAAGTACGAATTGCTGTTGATCCACCCGAGGCGTCGGCGAATCTGCTGTCCATGGCGCTTCCAGACGTAGATCCCAATGGTGACCACACAAAGGACCACGACGATCAGAACGATCGCGTTCCACACCGAACTGCTGCAGTCGTCGTCGTCGGAGCCCCAACCGTGGTCGTTGTGATGGTGACGGGAGCGAGGGCGGAGAATCATATTCGGACACGTGATCGAGGCGATGTCGCTGCCCGTGAGCCCGTTCACAGTGCAGTTCAAGTTGCGGTAGCGCGTGAGAAGGTTCTGACACGCCGATGTCGCACACACATCCCACGCGCCAAAGCTCGAGCCGTTGGTCGACGCCGTCATGTTAAAGCTAGAGCAGCCCGAGGCGCTGGCATTGATCGCAGTCAAGTCGGCGTCGCCGCATTCTGACGCCATGCTTGTCGCTGTGAGAGCGAGGCAGAGAAGAAGCGCACGCAGGACCGCCATGGTGTTTTGCTCGGCAAATGTCAAACTACGACAAAGTAACCGGGTCGTCGCAGGTGCGCAGGTGTTGGCCCTCGGACCTGCTGTCCACTCTCTCTGGCCTCAATCGAAGTTCGAATATGCTTTCCAGCGCTTGTACGCTGCCAGCTCATATCACCGAATTTCGCACACGATTGACAACGTAGCGGCTAATCGCACGCAACAAATAGGTGTGTCGCCACGCAGCGCCATCGCGTAGTGGAAGCCGGCAATCGCTTGAAGCCAGAAATATTTACAAGAGCGCCACAAACTAGCAATTTGGTCTTGTTGGGGTGCATAGAACACTGGTATACACCATCCGGGAGGTAAAGGCGTGGTTGCGTTGCGTTTGTTCAGCTTCGAGCTATTTGATTGAGCGAGCCTATTAAGGATCCACTGGGCAGTCAGTTTCGAGACCACCACGCCTTCGACCCTTCGACGTCGCCACCGATCGCTAGTAGTTCGACATTGCACAGCCAAAGGTAGCGACGGTACGCCACTATGCTGGACACGGCCAAAACAAATATATAGAACGGGCTCGGACTGACGATCGGACGGGATAGATCAACGTTTAACGCTCCTTCTAAAACCGCGCGAGGTTATTGTCTTTTATCGCGTAAATCTGGTTGAGCACGTCTCGTCTAGGTGGGATTCGAATTCTTCCGCCGTTTGGATACAGAGCAATGACACTATGTGTGCAAAGGTGGTGATGGTGGCACCAACGATTTTGTACGCCCAACATCGAGCTACAGATCGCGTTTTGGATATCCGAGAGAGAGAGATCGTGTTCACAAGGTACAAGACTGGGACGGCTCTATAGTTGGAGCCTTGTTTGAGGCGAGGAGAGGCTTGTTGGCTCGTCACGAGTGGCTGCTACTATCGGACGGGATAGATCAACGTTTAACGCTCCTTCTAAAACCGCGCGAGGTTATTGTCTTTTATCGCGTAAATCTGGTTGAGCACGTCTCGTCTAGGTGGGATTCGAATTCTTCCGCCGTTTGGATACAGAGCAATGACACTATGTGTGCAAAGGTGGTGATGGTGGCACCAACGATTTTGTACGCCCAACATCGAGCTACAGATCGCGTTTTGGATATCCGAGAGAGAGAGATCGTGTTCACAAGGTACAAGACTGGGACGGCTCTATAGTTGGAGCCTTGTTTGAGGCGAGGAGAGGCTTGTTGGCTCGTCACGAGTGGCTGCTACTATCGGACGGGATAGATCAACGTTTAACGCTCCTTCTAAAACCGCGCGAGGTTATTGTCTTTTATCGCGTAAATCTGGTTGAGCACGTCTCGTCTAGGTGGGATTCGAATTCTTCCGCCGTTTGGATACAGAGCAATGACACTATGTGTGCAAAGGTGGTGATGGTGGCATCAACGTAATATGCTCCATACGTTGTTTGCACAGCGTAATGACGTACAAAACTACTGTTGAGCGGAAGTGCACACTACCACCACGATAGATTGACGATAGACCGCCTTGACACGAGACGCCCGAAGCTGCTGCGTGCGTCTAATCCGATTGCAACATAGGCACGACTAACTAGGTACGACTGTACAATGTTGTAGCACGAATTATATCCTATTCTGTCATATAAATTGATGGGTTTTGTCAATCAATCGCCTTCCCAGGAGCAGACTATGGTCTGCTTGTCGCATACATTTTATTGTACCAACGGCATTATATTAATACATCATGCGCTGACCAAGCTCACTGACCGCGCTCTGGGCGTGCATGATGACCTCACCAGCCGTGCTGACGAGCAGTTCGGGACGCGACCTACCGACAGCATCGTACTAGTACTCGACAACTCAACTGGATGCGGCTGGTTTCCTGGCACCGGTAGAAAAGCGGTGTAGGCGAAACCGTCCAAAATCGCAGGACCTCAAAGGGCATTTGGTAGGGGGCCTATCGTTTTTACGTTTTTGATATTATTATTTAAGCACGATATACGTATGCAGTAAAATAAAAAGGACGCCTCAAAAATCAAAGTGGTCGCGTCGATGAGATGCGGTGGCGGCAAGCATGCCCGCGCGCGCTTCGAAGGCCGGACGAAGCGCGCGCGCACCTTCGACTAACTAAGGGGTGGCTTCCATTTTCCAGAGAGCTTGAAGCAGAGGCTAACGATGGCGGGCCGCTTTGTCACGAGTCGCCCCGGCCCCGGCGGGTCGATCGCATACGAGCTCGACCCGGCGAGTGTCACGGCAGCCTTCCCGTCGCATGACGTCTCGACGGCGCTCAAGGCCATGGTCGAAGTCTCGCTCCGCGACGTTGGCAGCCTTCTCCCCAGAGACATCCACGACGTCAACACGGCCAAGCTCCAAGAATTCTTCCCAGACGGCCTCCAGGCCACGGACGAGCTCGTCGTGCTGCCGTACAAGAAGGCTCATACGCAAATGGTGGGCCTCGCCGAACTTCCCGATCTTCCTCTCGGCCACCGCGCTGCGTTTGTTGGGCAAGGCAAGCTCGAGCTCGCCCCGGGAATCGACCCGACGCGGTTCATCGCGATTGGCGCCATCCAACTCGACCTTCTCCTTATGGGGAAGCATCGCCTGAAGAAATGGAAGCGCGACGTCGAGAAATTGCTCGAGTTCTCCGCTGCGATCCCGGTTGACCCGCCGACGACGCCCCAGCGTATCAAAGGCAACCCACTCATCATGGCGTCTCCATCGCCCCGGCGCATTGGCGGGCGCCCCATGACGTCGCCGTCTGCCCGGAGCTTGCCGTCGCGATCGCCGCAAATGATTGAGTTCATTCCGCAGCCGTCGTCGGCGTCGTCGCCCGCCAAGAAGAAGACGAAGGCTGGCGCGCGTCTCCAGGCGGTGGTGGAGCTCGACCCGATCGAGACGATGAAGACGGCGTTCAACGACGCCAAGACGCCCCAGACGCCCAAGACACAGAAATCGTCGACCCAGACACGCGATTTCTTCTTCCAAGTGCTTGGGTCCGAGGCGCCCAAGTTCTCGACCAAGATGTCCACGACGGAAACGTACCAGGAGCGTTTTGTCGCGCTTCTCGTCGCCGAGGCCAGAGCCGCCATCATCGCTGGGTACGTTTCCTCTCAATCTTGCACCCAATCTCATCGTTTCTATGCAAATATAGGCAAAACCCGCTGCCTGCCACGTTCACAGAGCTCGCCGCCTCGTTGGACGGCGTCTCAGACCCAAACGCTGCGACGTTCCAGACGCGTGGGGAAAACTCGATCAAAATCGGTGACGTCGTCCGCCTCAAGGTGCGTGCATCGGCTGCCTCTTCTCTCTCAATGCGCATACAATGATTAGGTTGACAACTCACGACGGGCTATCGGCATTGTCGAGCGCGCGCATAGACAAACGATCGACGTCGTCTTCCTCCATGCAGCGAAGACGGTGCTCGACCTCCCCAAGGCCGTCAAGATCGAAGCCAAGGTGGTCGCGTCGCTGGTGACGACGCTGCGCATGGTCCACGGCGTCGGTTCCATCGACAAGTTGCCCGGGCACTTGCGCGACGTCATCCTCAACCAGTCAAGTGCCACCGCGTCCGTCTCAGTGCACAAGGTTGCCGCGACCACGCTTCGCGACGTCATCGCAAAGTCGACCGGGGCGCTTAAGACGTCGACCAAGGGCAAGGGCAAGAAGTCGACCAAGAAGCAAGTACGCACATGGATTCCTTTGCAGTCGGTCGCCTCACTTTTATGCAATAGATGTCCAAGGAGGACGAAGACGTCGTGCTGACGCTCTTGACAGATCTCACCAAGATGAAGATCTCGGTCGAAACCCTCGAGGTACGGTCGTATTGAAGGTGTCAATGTTTCAACACTTGTGTTCCTAGGTGACCAAGATCCACGACGTCGTCGCCGAGCTCGTCAACAAGGTCAAGGCGCCCACCGAAGCCATTGCCATGGCGGCGGCCACACTCGACAACGTATATCAGTCGCTCATCACGGTACACCTTTTGTCTACACCAACTGCGTGACACTCATTCCTTCTACTCTAGCCGAAGCTCTACGACGTGGACCGCTCGGTGGCCGATCTCATCGCGTCCGAGATCAACCCGTCGCAGTTCAAGGCGCTGCGTCGCGGCCTTGGCAACCTCGAGACCGGTCTCTCGCTCTGGAAGGGCCGCCGGGTACTGGCAAGACGACGACGATCTGCGCCCTCCTCTCGGCCCTTCTTTCCAAGGCGTCGCCGTCCAAGGGTCCGTTGCCAAGTGTCCTTGTGACCTCGGATTCGAACGCAGCGATCGACGAGATCATCGAGCGCATCTTCTCGGTGGGAATCTACCTCGTTGGCCACACGACGAAGGTCCAAGCGCGACTGCCACGCCCGGAAGGATTCTTGGCGCCCCCGCTCACGGCCGTCAAGATGGGCAGTCGGCCTGGCGCGCGGGACATTGGCCTCGCGACGGCAGCTGCGCAGTACAAGAAGGAGATCAAGGACGCGTGCGAGAAGCTTCCCGCCAACGACAAGCGCGCCGCGAGCCTTCGCGTCGAGAAGGATCTGGACAAGTGGGAGCTCTTGGCGCGCGTTGCGGGCAAGGCCAACATCATTTTTGCGACGCATTCGTCGTGCGCTGGCGCTGACATGACGCACAAGCTCCGGCAGTCGGGGTACGCATTCTCTCTCTTTCCCGATATCAACGCATCCCTTTTTGTCGGTAGCTTTGACGCGGTCATTGTCGACGAGTGCGGCCAAGCGACCGAGCCGAGCTCGCTCCTCGCGCTCCTCGCGCAGGCCGGTCGGTTCTTTTTTGTGGGCGACACCAAGCAGATCGCGCCGACCGTCGTCAGCGACGACGCCAAGACGCACGGCTTGGACGTCTCGCTCATGGAGCGCTTGGAAGCGTATTTGCCCGTGACGATGCTCACCGTACACACCGATGGACGATCTTTCTTCTCATTGATTTATAGGAGCAACATCGCATGCATCCGTTCATGAGTGCATTCACGGCCAAGGCGTTCTACGACGCTGCTTTGACGGACGCGCCGGCGATCGCGCGACGCGTGTTGGCGCAGGACGCAAGCATGTACGCGCACCCGGCGTTCCAGCCGCTCACTGTCGTCGACATCGCTGGCGTTGAGAAGCGCGTCGGCACCTCCAAGGCCAACGACGCCGAAGTCAAGTTTTGCATCGACCAGGTCCGTCCACGGCAGCGCACGACGTCATCATGCTGACATATCTTCTTTCTCGGTAGATCGAGCAACTCATGATGACATTTCCGCGGGTTCAGAGCGGCGAGTGGAGCATCGGGATCATCACACCGTACAAGCCGCAAGTGCACAAGATTGTGGGCGCCATTAACGCCAAGATCGCAGCCAAGATGGAGCCCGCGGCGTGGAGCAGCATCGAAGTGTCCTCGGTCGACGGCTTCCAGGTACCTCTCGCAAGAGACGGTCGTGTACTGACGCAGGTTAGGGCCGCGAGAAGGACATTATCCTCGTCTCGTGCGTCACAAGTGGCAACGTGGGCTTCCTCGACGACGACCGACGCACCAACGTCATGACGTCGCGCGGCCGCCGCTTCTGCATCGTCAACTGTACGCCTCTGCTGCTTGTGGACGAGGATGCTCATCAATGTCAATGTTAATGCAGGCAATGCGTCCGCACTGCAAGGCCACGCGACGTGGCGCATGTTGTTTGAGCACGCCAAGGACAAGTGCGCGTTTGTCGGCGCCGGCGCCAAGCCCTTTGCGACTGTGTGGGCCGAGACCGAGGCCGACGACGCGCTCAAGGCCCGCGTCAACCACCAGCACGCGACGCTCCGTGCGACGCTCGAGCAGCGTGACGAGAAAGGCAAGGCGAACCCGGACGACGAAGAAAAGGCGGCCCCGAACGAGGAAGAATCCAAAGACGAAATGCCTTCGGACACCAAGCGCAAGCGCCGCGGCAGTCCCAAGGTGCACGTCTCCATTTTGTGAACGCGCTCGACCAAGTCTCTCATTCGTCTCTGAAACTAGAGTCATGACGGTCACAAGAAGCGCCTTGGCGCCGCGCAAGGGGTAGGGCAAGCGAGGAATAGCGCTACTATGGCTCATGGGCATACGTGTAGAAGCCCGCGACGACGGCGCGTCGAACGTGATGCAGGACAACGCATGAACACCGTCCGTCACCAGCCCGCGGAACGCGCCTTCGCATTATTTATTCATATTTAATCCGTCTTTAACAAGCACCTGCATGCGGTTGATCGATATCGGCACGATAGAAAACTGCTCGCCCAAGACGACAACCGTCCCTTGTGTCATCGCCGCACTGCAGCTGGAGGAGAAACCACTTGGCGTCGACGGACGCACCAAGGACCAGCCCCCCCCCCGACGACACGACGTCGTTGTACAACAATCGCCCGATTGCATTTGCCCGAGGCATTGTGGCAGCAAATATCGCCTTTCGAGACAGCGAGGGGACTCGGCGTAATTGCGCGCCAGTGCGAGTCATGTTGCAAGAGCATCGATACATCTCTGCAACGTCGTGCATAGCTTTCATATCTAGCGGCTGTAGGTGCAAGGCGGGCACGTTTTCGGTTGACTCCATGGTGCACCCAACCACTTGGTTCATTGCTCGACGACAGGAGCCAAAATGCAGTTTCTATTCACAACCGCATCGATCATCTGTCTTAGGCGACGATCGCCACGTCCTGTGCATCGGGCAGCGACCGCAGCACCTTGGCCACGAGGCGGTCCATGTCGTCGACCGTGAGCTGCGGGTGGCAGAGCGCGAGGCGGAGGACAACGCCGTGGTCGGCCGTGACCGTATGGACCATATGGATGCCCTCGACGTTGTTGAGGCGCTCCATGACCGCCATATTGGTCGCATCGTCAGCGTCCTTGACGCGGAAGCAAACGAGGCCAAAGACATCTCGGAGCACGTGGATCGAGTCGTGCTGGCGCAGCTCGTCGGCGAGATACGTCGCCAGCTGCAAATGGCGGCGCAACCCGTCGCGGAAGCCTTCGAGACCCATGCTTTGGATCGTGCAGTACGCCTTCAAGCCGCGGAACGGCCGGCCAAGACCGAGCTGGTAGTCCTTGAGGTCAAAGACGTTGTTCTCGGCCGTGTGCTTGTTCTCGAGGTACGCGCCAGTCGCGTTGAGTGCTTGGACGACATGCTCCTTTTGACGAAAGAAAAAGAAGCTCGAGTTGAACATGAGGTGGAACCATTTCGAGCCGTTCATGAGGAGCGAGTCGCAGACGTGCATGCCGCCGAGCGTCGACCGCATCTCGGGCAAGAGCGCGACCACGCCAGCGTACGCGGCGTCCATGTTGAGCCACATGTCGTGCTCCGAAGCGATGGTGGCCATGGCTTCAATATCGTCGATCGCGCAAACACCGGTCGCCCCATAGTTGCCCGAGACGAAGAACGGCGCGAGGCCATTGGCCTTGTCGTCTGCGATCGTCGCCGCGAGCACCGTGAGGTCCATGGCGTAGTTGCCGGTCGACGGGTCCAAAACCGATGGAATTTTGCGCAAATGCTTGACACCGAGGACTTTGCTCGCCTTCTCGACACAGAAATGGGACTGGTCGCTGTAGTAGCTCACGAGGCTGTCGAGGGATAGACCCGGGTTGGCAGCGAGCTTGCGCGTGCGGGCCGAGACTTGAGCGACGATCATGCCTTCGGTCGCGCTCGGTTGCATGATGCCACCGCCTACGCAGAGTCGACGTGAGCATGCCTCGATGGCACATAAGAACTGTACCCGAGCCGCGCCACGACATGGCCTCTGGCAAGCCGAAAGCTTCGCGGAGCCAGTCCATAACGTGGAGCTCCATCTCTGTTGCCGCGGGCGAGCAGATCCAGTTGAAGCCCGGCTGGTTCATGGCGTTGGCCATGAGCTCGCCGAGCATCGCCGACGGCGCGGCTTGGGCGGGAAAGTACGCCATAAAGTCCGGGTGCTGCCAATGCGTCATGTTGGGAACGACGACCTTCTCGACGTCGGCTAAGATCTGCGACCACTCGACGGGCGTCTCGGACGGGCGTGACGGCAGCGCGCGACGCACGTCGCCAGGCTCGCACGACGGCAGCACGGGCAGCTCGCGTGCCGCCAGCCGCTTGTTGTAGTCGACGATGAAATCGATGGTTTGGTGGGCCTTGGCCCGGAAGGCATCCCAGTCATAGTCGGCGGGGGCCGGCGGAAGACTGTTGGCAGCATGGCTGCTGGCACGCGCCAGCAGCGACGGGCGGGCGAGGCGGCGGGCGGTGGAGCTCAGCATCGCAAGCAAACACGGGAAATGATCGGACCGATCGCCAGGCTCTGTGCGAGATGATAGCCATCCGCAAGCGTATCCGGAAAAAAGTGCAACTTCAACTTTGCCAACCATTTGCGTTCAGTATGCACGACGGTGGCGCGACCAACTGCAAGTGGCGTCAGCGACTGGAGCCACCGACGACGCCTTGGCCAACGACGGCGCAGCCTGATGACATGCATTTCGCAGCCCTCCAGATACCATGCGCGTACTGTGCTCGTCGGTGATGCGGTACTTTAGTGGCACAAGTAGACGATGCCCATGCCAGCGCCGCAATTTTGGGAATCTGGTCGGTGGCACCAGAATCTGAACCCATCGCCATCGGCAGAGCACCGCGGCTCACCACCACCACCACCAACCACATGCTCCTGCCACCAGCTACCAGCGACCATTTCTAGGTCATGTACCGCGTACTAGTACGTGACGAAGGGCAAATTTCCCCCGCAACTCTCAGACCCGGGTGGGAAATCTGCAGTGTCTACACCGCAAAGAGACGAAGAGATGGTGATGCGAACCACCCTCTTGACTAGCCACATTCATGATACAGGCGCGGTGGACGCTTGGACCTGGCGCCTCAGTATGCGCTTGTGTGGCCAAGCTCGTACGGCGATCATGAATAACGAGTAGGACTAGGCGTGCGGTGCCAAGTGAGACGTATTTGACGTGGGTGAGTTGCAAGGTTGTTTTGTTCCCTTGGTCAGCTAGGTGCAGAGGCTGCGCGACGTTGCGCGCTGGTCGTCTTGGCCTTGGAACCACTCGTAAAAGTCATGCCACGCAATGAAGCCCGTGAGCTTGGTGTCGAGGCGGCGACAAATGGCTTCGACATGAGTCGGTGCCACCTGCAGCCCTAGTCGTCATCGCTCCTCATGACGCCTCGGTACACGCCGCATAGGATATCGACCCACCCACACTGCAAATGACGTGGCCGAGCTCCGTGCGCTTGAGCAGATTCGGATCGTCCGAGTAGAGCCGCGACTGCGCACTGAAGGCGTCCCACGCTTCCTTGCGCCGCGTCATGTGCACGTACTGCTCCTGCACCGCACACGAGAGCCGGTGGTTGAGCTTGGACGTGGACGTTTTAAAGCGTGCTATCCATGTATCCACCCATTCCTATCAACGTATCAACCATGTACCTTTGTAGAGCTCGCGCTGGGTGTCGCTCAGCGTGCGCTTGTATTTGGCGAGAACGACGTAGCTTGGTGTCGTGTCGTCGTTGATCTCGGGCGGACGCACCTCGGGTGGCAAGAGCTCACTCGCCAGCTTCTTGCACGTCGCTTGGTTGGCCAACGGTAGCTCGAGGGGCGACGCTGATCCCGCTCTGGTTGGCGCCAAAAACGACATGCGCGTGAATCGCGGCGCCTTCTGCGCGTCCGTCGCTGGCTGCGCGGGTGGCGGTACCTATATACGCGCCATTCCCGTGATGTTTACATCGTGGGATGCAGCGGGATACCTTGCCAACGGCAGTGTCGTCCATATGCATCGCATGCCATAGCTTCTTGGCGTGCTCCTTCTTGGCCGCTAACTCGGCGCTTTGGAGATCCGACATGATGTTGCCAAAGGCCGTGGATCGGTCTCGGGTTAGCCGCGCCGACTGGCACCGAGGGCGGCGGGGCGTGCGCGTTGGCGACGACGGGCGTGGCGGCGGCGAGCGTGGTCGCGTCGGCTCCCTTGGTCGGTGCGGCTCGCTGCGTTGCGGTCGCGCCGACGCAGGCCGCTTTGGTTGACGATTCTCGTTGTTGTCCATGGACGCTTCTTGTCGCCGTAGCTGGGCTAGCACGCGTGCGTGGCGTAGTGCGTGGCGCCGGTGCGCTTGCTGCTGTTGCGTGCGCTTTCTGGCGTCGATCGCGTCGCGGAGCGCCTGTGCTTTGGCCTCCTTGGCGGCCATGGCCGCTGCCACCTTGGTCTGCTCTCGCTGTAATCTACAAGCATATGCAAAATGTGCCGCCACCACTCGATAGGGAGCGTGGCTGTCTCACTTGACTTTATTCCGCTGGACCGTCCGGCGCTTGGCTTCGGCCCGCGCCATCTTTTCGACATGGAGTGCCGAGGCAATCGTGTCGAGGTCCTGGCCACGTGCACTGAGCACCGCGTCTACGTTGGGCTGCAAGATCGCATTCGGATCGACACAGGGCGTTGGCGACGACGAGACTGCGGACGGAGGTCGTGGGTCGCGCTGCATAAAGTCGGCCAGCTCCGACTCGAGCGCGTGCGCTTGCTGTGTCACGTACGTCTGAATCGTGTCGACGTTGGAGACGTGGCGGCGGTACGCGGCGCGCGGGTGCACCCGGTAGGACTGCGTCGCTTCGAGACTCGAGACCGCCGCTTTCGCGCGTGCAATCGCCGACGCAATGCGCTCGTCCGTGCTTTGCGACGTGAGCTTGCTCGTGACGCGATGAACCTTTGGCTTTTTCAACGATTTGCGGGGCTGAAAGGTCGGCGATGGCACGAGGCACTGCCGCAGCGCCGTCAAGAACGATAGAAAGCGCAGTGGCCGCAGCGCAACGCCCTGGAGCTTCTCGAGCGCGCCGCAGATGCGAAAGTCGGACGCGAAGACCGAGTGCCGTTCGATCGCGTTCATAAGCTCGACGTTCCAGACCCACGTGGTGGGTCGCAGCAACGCTATACCTGCAGAAACATGGCATCAGCTCACCGAGAAGAGTACGAACAACATCAACAGTACAACACGACGTACGATCTAAGTCGGGCACGAGCGAGCGAAACACGCCAACGAGCTCGGTGACCCACGCCGCGTCAAACAACGCGAGCAGCGCGTCGAGGTGCAAGCGCATGCTCATATAGGAAAAGAGATCTCGCCATTGCACGCTTTGGACGTCGTCGAGTGCGGCAATAACGCCCATGACGCCCATGTCCATCTCCTCGACAAGGTGCTGCACCAATGGCGAGGCAGCGAGCTTATCGCGCAAAGCAAACCGGTTCGCGGGGGGAGACAGCGTCCCGAGGAGCGTCTGCGCCTCTTGCAGCACGGCCACCTACTTGTGCATTGAGATAGCCGGGCGAGGCAGGCTCGACGTGGTACGGCGTTGGGTGGTGCGACAACAAACAGTTTGGCCATCGCATCCACCTAGTAAAAAGCAGATTTCATGCTGTAAACACGGCGGTGGTTAGGGTCGACGCACCTCGGACTTGACCAAAGACGTCGGCGGAACACACTCGGGGTCGTAGCCGAGGACGAATCCAATGAGGTGCGTATCAGGGTCCGGGACGTTCGAGACGTCGTCGCCGAGACCGCCAGTCACGTCGTCGTTTTCATCCGATGACGGGGTCTGGGTGCTAAACCAGACCATGGGGAGACGCTTTTTTGGTGCGTCGTAGCATGCATGCAAGCGCGCGAGAAGCGGCTGCATGCGGTCCCGCACATAGGTCGTTAGGTAGTGAAGGAACCCATCTTGGGTCGGACTGGTGCGATTGAGGCGGCACTGCGCTTCATAGTGGCGCTGGAAATGGCTCGGAATCGAAAAGATGCGCAGACAGAGCACGGTGAGCCCGTTGAACCTACGCCACCGCTCTATCGAAACTGGCCTCTCGACAAAACGTCGATGTACTGGAGCAAAAGGGATTGAGTCCGACGGGACTCGTGGGCCAACGCACAGAGGAAGCGCGCGGCGGCGAGGCGCACCCCGCGGTCCGGCGACTGCAAGTCTTGAAAGCACGTGGCGAGCCGCTGGTGCTAGTAGTCGTGGTACGTCTACGTTTCCATGGGTCGAGAGACTACCTCGGAGACGTGCGTGGCGATCTTGGTTTGCCACGCCTCTTTGGCGGACACACAGTGCTCAATCAAGCGCGCGTATTGCAAGAGCTTCTGGCGCACGTCCGGCGTCGTCATATCGAGGCCGTCGAGCGGGTCACGCGACAGCAACGGCGGGCTCTCGCTTCGACGCGTGGGTGCCAATGGGCTACGCATCACGCCTGGTGCTCAACACGTTTTTCAACAAAAAGCGCGTTATACGCTGGCGAGGTCTCAAAGGCAAAGACACTGGTGCGTTCCATGTACTCGATCGTGTCGAGCTCCACGTGAAGGTACACCCGACTGCCCCGCGCCAGGTCTATACCCGCCGTTGTGAGCATGACGCAGACGATATGACTGACCCCGGTCGACGTGCAAGAGTGGTAGCGAGACGTCGACGACAACGCCCGTCTCGGTGCACCCGTCTTTTGTAAACCGAACCCGCCACCACTGCAGCTGGTGCGGCACCGGACTACGGCGCGTCGTCAGCGCATCGGCCGTCGCTGCGACCGGACAGGCTTCGTCCTCCAACAACGAGTACGCCTCGCTCCTAGATGAGATTGTAAGGTGTCACGGTCAGCTGCAACGGCGTAGTACGCTGCGAGGCTCGGCGTTGGGTCGTCGAGTCCGCTCGTGTCATGGTCGCTGGTTGCTGAGAACATTGCAATGGCCGCTGCAGGGGAACCGTCTGGAAGGTCCGTCTCGATGGCGGGGGGATCATCATCGCATAGTAGTCTAGCCCCAAGGGCAGTAAGCACATCAAGTGTCGTTGCTTCTGTCGTACGAAGAAGAGGGGCGGCTCTGGTTTTCGTTGGATGCAGCATCGTCTTCCGACTCGGCCGCACTGCGAACGACCATAAGAGACGACTTGCAAGTGTGCTTACAGTTCGCTGCTGGCGAGGTCCCGCGCGTCATCCAGCGTACACTCGTCGTCGCTAGCCATACACACACAGGTATAGCAGCAACGGTGCATAGCGCAAGTACTCGTCGCACGGCGCCAGAAGCTCAATCTGGTCGCTAGAGTCGTACTCGCCGTCGTCGCCGTCGTCTACAACCGTTGCAGCAATCATTGAAGGCCACGGCATGGGGCTGCACCAAAGAGAACGTGGATTCTGCCGTCCTCATCAATGGCCGTGATGTCACCTTCGAACCACGCGTCTTCGGACGGCCAGTAGACCCGGACGCGGGCGCCAACTTCCATGCTCCTGTCTGCACCGAGTAACTGAAACTGCTTCAATTGCCCTTTCTAGTTCATGATACAGTTATACTCACATTCTATCGAGTTTATCGTGGTTACAAAGGCACCACTCGGGTTAGCCTCATTTTCGAGTGGTTCTTTCGCGTGTTAAACGCGGTTGCGCAAGATATGGATGGGTTAATGGACAAAACGTGGATATATTTTTATTTTTCACTAGGTAGCGATTTAGAGCTTGAGCTCCTTGATCGTCTCCCACGTGAAGTCCTCGTGGTCGCGGCCGAAGTGGCCGTAGGCGGCCGTCTTCTGCATGACCGGGCGCTTGAGCTTGAGGTCGCGCTGGATGCAACCGGGGCGGAGGTCGAAGTTCTTGTTGACGATCTCGACAAGGTCGTCGTCGGTCACGCCCTCCTTGACCGTGCCGTACGAGTCAATGTGGATCGAGAGCGGGTGCGAGACACCGATGGCGTAAGAGAGCTGCACGATGACGCGCTTGCAGAGGCCGTGGTGGACGAGGTTCTTGGCGACCCAGCGAGCAGCGTAGGCGGCCGAGCGATCGACCTTGGTCGAGTCCTTGCCCGAGAAGGCACCACCGCCGTGGGCGCCCCAGCCGCCGTACGTGTCGATGATGATCTTGCGGCCCGTGAGGCCGGCGTCACCGTGGGGACCGCCAATGACGAAGCGCCCCGACGGGTTCAAGTGGTAGACGGTCTTGTCGTCAAGGAACTGCTCCGGGATGACCGGCGTGATGACGTGCGTCATGAGGTCGGCGGCGATCTGCTCGTTCGAGACCTCGGGGCTGTGCTGCGTCGAGATGACGACCGTGTGCACGCGCTGCGGGATCATGCGGCCGTTGTCCTGCTTGTACTCGATCGTGACCTGCGTCTTGCCGTCCGGGCGGACCCAGTCGAGCGTGCCGTTCTTGCGCACTTCGGTGAGGCGGGCGCCGAGCTGCGTGGCGAGGACGTGCGTCAAGGGCATGAGCTCGGGCGTCTCGTCCGTGGCGTAGCCGAACATGATACCCTGGTCACCAGCACCAATGTCTTCGTCCTTGGCGCCGTCGACGGCGGCACCGATCTCGGGCGACTGCTGCTCAATGGCAACGATGACGTTGCACGACTTGTAGTCAAGGCCCTTGGCCGGGTCGTCGTAGCCGATGGCCTTGATGGCCTCGCGGATGACCGCCTCGTAGTTGATCGTGGCGCGGGTCGTGATCTCACCGAAGATCATGACCATGCCCGTCTTGGCGCACGTCTCGCAAGCGACGCGCGAGTTGGGGTCCTGGGCGACGCACGCATCAAGGACGGCGTCCGAGATCTGATCGCAGAGCTTGTCGGGTGGCCTTCGTTGACCGACTCGGACGTGAAGAGGAACGTGCGTTCAGCGACCATGATGTGAGGTTGAGTTGCGCTGGAAGAAGCGAATTCGAAAATGACCTTCGCGGATCGCCACGATTTTGGCCAAGTGTTTTTCATCTCGGTGTTTGTATGCGATTAGAAAGGCCGAGTTCTTAGTGGTCTCTCTTGATGTTTGTATAGCGTCCAAAAAGTCGACTCGGCGGGTTTCTGGCATTTGATTGGTGGAAATCCAGAATAGGGTTGCGGCGGGTGGAGCGTATGGCACGCGGTTCAACGCCGGGCGTATCCGGCATCCTATACAAACGGCAAGATGCATCGAAGTATCCGGATGACGCGGCGCGTTTGTGATTGGTCGAACGCCAAAGAAAATCCTCGGGAAGTCATCACTTGGCCACAGTATACAAGCGGACGCGCGCCATATGACCAACCATTTCTTGGTTCGACTTTTTGGCCATAGACACTCATCTCCGAGGATCCCAGATGGTCGGATGATGAAGACGGACGAAGAATAGCTTGCAATTTGTATGGGACCCGAGTGGCATGCGCAATCCCAGCATCCGTCGTCGGCGGAAGATCGGCAAAATTCGAATTGTTGAAGGGCGCGTGGCAAGGCGTGGCGGCCTCTGAGTGGCTCCCGCGCCGATTTGACACGCTTCAAGTCAATCCCTCTAAAATCGAAGCCAGGATCTTTGGCGTCCTAGTAGTACCCTTTTCGTCGAACGTGCTTTGGCTTCCACGGAACCGAGTAGCCGACGGCGGCCAGAGGAGGGACCACCGCGGCCTTCGCCGCCCAGGAAAGCGCGGGGCGCCGTGCGGGCGACGCGTCTGTCTCAGGCTCGAGCCGTTCTTGTATGCGGCATCTTGAATCCTGGTTTTCTCGATTTACCATTTGATACGATGCAACCGGCGCTGAAAACCGGGGAGATGGGGTTCCCCACGTCCCACGACAGCTAGTGGAGGGATTCCTCGGATTTACGGTCAACGCGGGGCGCGGACCCTTGCTATCGTGTCTCTATTACCGTGCATTTACCGTGCGGACGCGTTTTCACGGTAGATTTGAAAGCAGGTGGCGGTTACCGTGCCCGCACGGTTTACTGCACGTGGTCGTCGGTACTCCGGCCATAGAGCGCCAAATGAACCTCCTCCGGCGTCAAGAGGTCGGCTTGTGGGAGCTGTGCCGGGTCGCGGTGCCGGGGAAGGCCGACGAGAATGTCGTTCTTGGGCGTCGCGTCGAACGGGTGCATGATGTACATGGCCGCCGCGTACCCGCAGTTCTAGACACGCTGTCGTTGGTGGCGGCTGCAGAAGGGTACTCAGACCTGGACCGCTCGCAGATTGCGGTCGGTTTCGAGCACGCTCTTGCATCGGCGTCGATTGATGTTGGCTGCGTTCATCGCCATCGAGCTGTGTCCATTGTGGCCAAAGTCGGCGGCCTTGGCCAGAATCTACACGCAGTATCAAGTGACTTTTCACCAAAAGACAGGTTATTACCTCGTACTCGGTGCGGGTCACGGCCGCTTGAAGGGCCTTGGACCGAGGATACTCCAAGAGCGAATGCTTGATCTTGCCGACACAACACGGCGCGAGCACGTACGCTGCGTCTGCCTTGAGGCACTTGTCCAGGACCATGTCTGTTGCCTGGTCCAAAAGAAGGTTGTCCATTCAAGCTGTCGACTTGGTCTTACCTCGCCACACGCGTGGAGGGCAATGCCAACGTCAAACGGGTCGTTATACTCTAGTACATTCTTTCTATCAGCTTGGTCGAGTACAAGGCGAGCAGCTTCGTACCTTCAACGCGGCCACAAAAGATGCTCACGTTGGAGAGACCGGCGAGCGCAATGCGTTCGCTCGCAATATCGAGCGACGGCTGCTTCATATCGAGGAGCACAAAGTGGCAGGTGGGGAATTGACACGCGAGCGGCAGCGCCACGTAGCCCGAGCCGGCGCAAAACTCGACTACGACGTCGCCGTCTCTACCAGATACATCTCATAGATAGAATCGCTTGTGCTCTATCCACATGATGTATTAGTACCGCAAGATGGACTGCAGAAAGATGGCGAGGTTCTCGACTTGGTGGCGCTTGTTCTGAATGCGTTGCGGCGGCAAGTGTCCGTCTTTGGGATGAATGCCGGACGGTAGCTCGGTCCACGGAATCGTCGCCGTTGCCGTGTCCAGGATCGGGTTACGGTAGTAGCGAGCGTGGAGGTCGTTGTCCGCCGCCTCGACCTGCGCCAAGACCTCTTCGAACCAACTGGCCTCATTCGCGGTCGAGATGCCCCGCTCGAGGCGCCGCTTCTGCTTCTTGGACGTGGGCACTGGCGCTGGACCTGATGACGTGGCAGCCAGCGCTTCGCCTTCGTCGATCCACGTGCCCCACGTCATGCTCGGCAGGACCCCGTTCATGGCGCCGCTGTGGTAATCCAAACAAACTCGCCCAATCAAACACGGCGGTACGTGATTCGCGTGCTTTGATTGGACTAGAGACACCGGGCAATTCCCTCGTTGCGTGATAGCGCAATCCAAAGCACACCAGCGCTCAGGAGCAAGGACGTCAACGAAATAAGCAGCGTCGATCGACCAGCGTAGGCCATGTAGAGCGGCAAGTACCGCAGGATGTACCCCGCTATCGACATTGCGGGCATTATTAGTGAGCTCCATGAGTACGCTCCGCGACGAATCTGGTTCTGACGCATCCATACCAGACATGGTTTCCACATCTGGGCTCTCGCCGAAGCGAGACATCCAGATCGAACGCAATGCACTGGATCGCCGCCGCTCGATGCGTACCGCAGCGCACTTTAGATACATGCGCGAGACGGTTGGAATCAGCACCTTGCCGCGCCCAGGCGTCAACCCGTACGCCAAGGTGCTCTCGCGGGTGCGCCGACGCAGCGTCGACGAGCTGCGCCCAAACCACCGTATGCAGCGCTGTGAGAGTGCGCCGCTGCCGCCTGCGCACTCGACTCTAGGACTACCGGTCGTGCGCCGCGCCGTCTCGGACCCGATGATGCTCTCTATTGTGCCGCGACCACTCCCGCCGGCGCCGAGCCGGTCGCTCTGCCCGGGGGATACCATCCACCTCCTCTTCCGCTGGTCCAACACCCACATGCAGGTCTCTGGCAGCCTCGTCTACAGCCCACGCGCCAACTTTTGGTCGGCGGGTCGCGTCGACTGCTTTCCGTTCGACAGCTCGATGCTCGGCGTCGAACACAAGCTCAAGCTCCATGCGCTCTCGTCGGCGGTCGGCGTCTGCGACGGCGACGAAGTTGTCTTCACACGCAGCGACGGCACGTACCTCGCAGTGGGCCGCCATGGTCGTCTCTGCTTTCGCAGGCCCACGCCTGGACAGCTCGTGTTTCCGAGGCAGGCGCGGTTTTCGATCTCGTGCACCGAAGTGGGCGGCGTCTTGGCCAAGAGCTTTTACCTCCGGTCGGTCGTGACGCATCAGCTGGTCGGGTACGAAGCCCAGCCCAAGCGCCACGCGGCGTCCCAGTTTGTACGCCCGGTGGGCCGCCTCGTGCTCTACGACGAGCAACGCGAGCACACGCGGAGTCTTCCCGTTGTCTTCTTCAAGCGCAGCCACACCTCACTGCGCGAGAGCGAATTCATCCATCGCCAAACAAGCGGGCTAGTCCGCGTCTCTGAATATTACATTTAAATCCACTAAATTAGAGCCATTTATTCGTGTCTGCCCAACGATCGATCGATATCGTTGATGATGGCTGGAATGTGGTCGTGGACCTGCTACAGCAGGTCAATGGTATCACGCGTGCGTGACGGGTGACTTGGCGGGTGTATTGCGACACAAGGAGACGAAAGATCTTATCGAGAGCGGAGCTGCAAAGTCACTCTCACTTTGGATTTCGGCTCCCGTTGAGCAACCCGCCACTCACCTCCCGAGGCTTGCCGGTCGGTAATTTTGCCTTCTTATGAAACAAGCCCACTCTGGCATGGTATCGAAAAGGGTGATGTGGCGTCGCATCCGACGTTCACCAAAGACTGCTCTCTTCGGTAGAGCCACCGACTGCAACTGCTGCGCTACCCGTACAATCGCGCTAGGATGCATCTCTACTGTAGTGTGCAGTGACTGGATGCTTGAATTTCAACATTGGAGCACAGGCTAGAGGCGCGTTCAAAACGACGCTACGATATACGGCTACCCTTGCCTTGTATTCTTGTGCTGCAGCCCGCAGCAGTCGCCGAGAGTACCATACCGATAGCTCCAAGATCGAAGCGCCAACTGCGGTCACCTGAATAATCACACTATTGCGAATTATAACACTATTAACATATAATACTATTTTATGGCATAAGCTGTTATTTGTGGTATTTGCCTAAATTATGGCGCTGTGCCAGAAATATCAAAGATCGACCTCATTCTTGGATTGCCGGCCCATGCAAGAAGACGCGACCGAGCTCGACCCGGTGCTCGACATGCTCGACATCTCGGGCTTCGCCTACAGCGCGAACGAGCGCATGAGGTACGTGGACCCGCTCCTCCGCGTCGATGGCATGGACGAGCGGCTCGCCTGGCCGGTGCTCGAGTCCCAGCGGACGGGCCTGCACGCGCTCGTCCCCGACGGCCGCGCGATCATCGTCCCCGGCGAGCGCATCACATGCAGCAACACGGAGTGGACGACGACGACAACGAACGCGATCCTCGCCAGCGTCAACAGCAACCTCGGGGTCCGCGGGCCCGTCGCACTGCGCTTGAAGCACATGGCGATCGACGTCCACGGCGACGCGGCGAGCGTCGCGTCGGACAGTACAGATGCGATCGGCCGCGTGCTCGTGCTGCTTCCATCTGTGTACAGCGGCGGCGCCTTGACGTTCAAGGTCAAGAACGCCGGGACCCAGTACTGGTCGTCGGACGACGTGACCCACGTCGCCACGCCGTGCTACATGGCGCTCTTCACGTCGGCCGAGATCCTTATCGCGCCGATCGTCGCGGGCGCGCGGTCCATGCTCGTCTACGACCTCGTTTCCGTCGATGAAGAGGCCAATGTCGCACTTGCCCCGGCCGCGCTCGACCTCGCCGCGTCCTTTCTCCAAGAGCTTGCACTGCTGCCACCGACGTCAGCGATCCTCGGCTACGCGCTCGACCACCCACATGCGCCATTGAGCCACGAGATTCTCTCGTACGCCGAGCGCCGTCTCGTCCATGCCCTTGTGACGGCAGGCTGCTACGACGTCGTGCTCGTCCAGTGCAACGTCACACCGTACTCGAAGACCATTGTGGACTGTTTCTCGATTCCTCGTGCCGACGTACCATCGACCGTCCAGAGCAACCTCATTGGCAAGCGCATCGACACGATCGTAAACACGCGGGCGATTCTTTTCGAGCCGACCAAGTTCATTGCGTTTTGGCCCACGCGCACGCGACCTGCTGTCGTGGGTCTCTCAGCGGCCCTCGCGTCGCTTTGCCTCGTCGTGGACGTGCCCTTGATGGACAACACGGACGACCGCCTCCTCGGCACCTTTAGCCCCAGTGAGCTTGCGTTGGCTGTCTTGCCTTTCTTTGGCGACGATCATGCCAGCAACGTGGACAAGGTGCCGCGTTTCCCGCTGCCGGAGGACAAGAGCCACTTTGAGATCCTCTGCGGTGCCTTGGCGGCGCTTGGCGACGTAGCCGTGACGTCGCACTTTATTGCCGAGCATCTCACGTTGACGGACACGATGACGATCGAGAACGTGGCGGCGTGGCTGCATGCGACGCTGACGACCGTTGGGTGGGGACCTCTCTTGCCCGCACTGACGAGCATGCTCACTCGGTGGTGCTCAAGCTACGAAATCTCGTTCACCCCTGGCTTTCAGCTCGTCGCAAGCTTGGCCGGCGTCGTGGACGACCCCGTGTGCCCTCCACTGGACATGGCGTTTGCTGCCGAGCTCATCAAACCTTGCTGGTCGACCATCATGACGCTCCTCGATGTTCCATCGTACGACGTTGATGGCTACGATGACACGAGCACGATCCTGGCGCCGGCCATGCTCCTCGAAGCGTACATTACGTCGGGCGACGGCGGCGGCTGGTTTACGAGCAAGGTGCCAGCGACCTTGTGTGCCGAAATTGACGCGTACCGCTTTCCAACCCACTCGATTCAGCGCTGCGTCGACTATTGGATGTCGCGCGAGCCCATCGATACGGTTGCCCCATCTTTGGCAGCCGTCGTCAAGCGCAACCCGCAGCTTTGCATCAACAAGTACCGTGCGGCGCTGACCAATGTGCTTGCTACCATGTCCGACCCTGGGAGTTTTTACTGCGTACGTGGTCTCTCTACTGCGCTAACTCTGGTGACGCCGCCCACGATCCTGCTCGAACGGCTCTGGCACACGATTGGCTTGCCGTTGCTCCCGGCGCTTTTTTCGGCGCTTGTCACGGGTGGCATTTCGATGGTTCCGAGCCTCTCGAGCTTGTTCATGTACGCCGCCAACGCCTTTGAGCCGCTGACGCCCAACACGCGCCATCAGTTGCGCGTATTTTACGTCGATCGGTCGCCGCTGCAGGGCTTTGCACCCGATTGCTGCTCGACCTACCTCGTTCTCGATGCGCTCGCGTACTTTCGCACCTTTGACGTGGAGATGCGGTCGGTGTTTGCCGAGGCTTTTATTGCGGCGACGACTTCGACGCCGGAAGCCACCGCTGTCTTCCGCAATCTCGACCTCCGCTGTGGCGCGTCTGACATCATCCTTGCGAAAGCGGGCCTCGAGCGCATCCCGATTGTCGAGCCGCGTGGCGTTAACGACCTCTCGATGACGGACGCGCTGCCTCACTGCGCATGCGAGATGGCCGACTCTATTCGCACGTTCTTGGCGTCGCCAACGCGCGAGAGCCTGGCTATTGACACACCGGACCTTTGCGACGAGCTCCGGTCGGTCATTGCCAAGCACAGGAAGGTGCTCGAGCTCCACTATATCTATCCCCACGACGGACAGCCATTGACCCACAAACTTCAGAAGCTTGTGGCAGGCGTGGCAGCGCTCCGTACGTCCGAGATTCACGACGTGGAGATGCGCGCGCGGCTCGAGGCGTTTGCTGTGTTACCCGATCGCCCACTCAAACGCCGTAGCCCATCGTCTCCGTGAACGGCGTCTCCATCAACTTTTGAAACCACGCTTTATCTATCGAGTACTCGTATTATAGTTTTGACGTTGTATCCGTGTTTTGCGTGGCATCAAACCATGTACTAGTCCTACAGTGTACCCAGCCCACGGAATTTGCTGGGCACCTTGTGGCCCTCTCTACTCACTCATGCCACTTTAAGCTGATAAGTGTCATCTTGTCGACGCGGCGCTTGGCACATTACCTCCAAAGCGCTCACTGGGCTGATCTCTACGTAAGTTTTTTGCTGCAACGTCTGTGCGCGAGGGTGTCGTCCTTGGGCTCCGCCGCGGCGCTGACCACGCCGTCGTGCTGTGTGGCAGCGCGTACGGAACGTCGCACCGACGGTCTATGTCTCAGAAGACGCTTTTGACGTCGAGTTGTCGGTCTCGGAGGATGAATCAACTGTAGTTGTTGAGGACGCGGTGGCGATCGTAGTGGAAGTGTCAGCGGCGTTCGAATCACAAGGTACTTCAACGCTTCCCATGGCTAGTCCAGCGCTTGCCGTGCCATTCCAGCCTGTCGCGGTGTACGAGCTGTCAGATGATGGTCTATTCTTTCAACAACCTCTTCTAGGACATTTATCACTCTACGCCTTTCTTGTGCACCACCGCACACTCTACTCTGGTACGTCACGTTGACCGAGGAGTGAAATGTACTCGGTGGCAAAGACTTACGGATGCAAACCTTGCATGCCCAAGATTCCATAAATGTGTACTAGTAAGGACATTGTGTTCTGGTGTGTCCTTGTGTATATCCTTGGTAGTAGTCTCAATGTATCTAGTACTGTAAGTTGACTTTGACGACCAAACTCGCAACAATGAACGATGCACACAGCATTAAGACGCGACACCGACATGGTCGACTGGCGCTGACCCCGCGATTTGAAACGACGCAAACAAATCGTCGTCGTCGTCGTCGTCGGCGTCGCACTCGGTGACGGCGAGCGACGACTTGGCCGCGATCCGCAACGGTGCCCGAAGGCGATACGCAGATGGTTTGTCGCGATGGTGCATCGCGCGTAGCTGGATGGCACTGCTTGCTGTACGTCGCAAAACGAGGGTGCCGCGACCGCGCAAGGTTGGCGTCCGTGCAAAGCCAATGTACCAGCGCGGCCAAAAGACGCTTCCGAGCGCAAAGGGCTCGTCTTGGTGAAGCTGGCCGCGTCGGCACTCGAGCGAGACGAGGCGAAACGCAGCCTTTGCCGACGGCTGCGTTGACCATCGGAGCTTGCGCTGGAGCGCGCAGCCGCGGAGGTAGTAGCACTCGCCGCCCTTGGTGCGATGCACGAGGCGAACGATGGCGCCAAAACTAACGTCGTCGGTCTCGAGCTCCATGAGGTGGTCGCCGTCGACGATGTACCGGGCTTCGATGCAAAAGCCGCATTGAGTGTAATCAAAGATGGGCATGGTGCAGACGCGCCCGTCGTCAAAGGTCAGCGTCAGCGGCGTCGAAGCGTGAACCACGTCCATGTACGCGGTCTACTTCGTCTTTTCAAGTGCCATGGGTTGTGGTCGGCATCTCTGTGCGCCGGCCGAATAATTGACGCTCGGGTGCTTGCAGTAGTAGCTTTGCAAGGATATCGAGCGAATCAGCGCCGAGCTTGCTGTTCCCACGGGTTGGTGGTAATACAACCTACAACCAAAGTCGATCGCATTTAAAGTTAACTCTCAGTCACTCTCAGTACACAGATCGTCGAGCGTGTCCATGCTCTACTACGAGCGCACCACGTAATACACTAACGTGAAGGCCCTTGATGAGAGAAAAGTCATTGACGATGCACAGCGCTGCAAAGGCAAATTGCAGACGCTGGTCTTCGGTAAATTCTCGGCTGCGATACGCCGTTCGCTCGTCGTAGTCCACCGGCGAATGGCAAAGCTTTGCCGCATACGCTTCGCAGTCGATGACTCTGATTGGCCGGCCCTTCCTGCCCCAACCGCGCACCTTCTTGCCACACACTCGCACAACCCGTCACGAGCGGAGCGTTTGGGTGCGATCCTTGGTTCCAATGCCTCGATAGCCTTGTCCACAGGTGGGTATTGTATGTGTCACTGTGGTCGTGCGAGCGATGACATTTTTGCCCACATCGCCAGACCTTCTGTACATCCACCCGGTCAGAGAATCCGGTTATACCAACCGGTTAATACAGCCGGCTTTATAGCCGGCTAACCGGGTAGCCGGCTCATCGTCGGTGCGTGGCCCACCTCCAAGGTACCGTAGCTCACGTTGGGTAGTAGCTCAAGTCCCTCTTTGTCAATACAAGTACAACGACTTGAAGAGAGGCCACCTCGGTGCCTTTTGCTTTGCAGCACAGCAACACACGTCCAGCCACACTTGTTCGTTCTAGTTTTGCAGTCCGTGCCATGTAGAATCCACTCGAAACGCTCAACAAGACACAATCTTTATAATTACGTTATGTTTTGAGCAAGACTTATTAACGCCCAAATTGTTCATGTCCAGTAGCCGACAATCGACATGGCGCAGGCACCGGCGGCCACAAATGCATACGTCAAGAGCCGACTGCGGCTCGACTTGGTATGAAACTCGTGGTTGTTGGTGTACTGGTTCGTCAACAGCTCGACAATGCCCGTGTAGATCAAAATGCCGGCCGCGAGCGCATCCAGGCAGCCTTGCACCCACAGCGCCGTCGCAGTCGTCGGCGAGTACGTCGTCGAAACGCCAATGCCAATCACAATACCGAGCGGCGTCGTCAGCGCGTACCCAAAAACCGTCCACAGCGTCGCCTTGAGCTCGTCAAATGCAAGCAGCGCCGAGGACCCGACCGCGACGCCCTCAAAGAACTGGTGAAAGCAGATAGCCGTAAGGAGCGTTGTAAATGTGGTGCCAGATGTGACACCGAGGTTGAGGCCGATAATGACCGAGTGGATCGCAACGCCAAGTTCAAAAATCAAGACGGAAATCGTGCGACTTTTGGCATCGCTGGCGACCGTCGACAGCGCGTGCGTGTGGCCATGGCTGTGAAACTGCTGCGACGGCGACTCGGCGCCCTTGACGTCCGCGGTGGGGGCTTCCGTGTCCGTGGCGCAGGTCGGAACAGCAAATCGCGCCGTGAGTTCCGTCTGAAGACACTGCAGCAAGAGAATCGCTACGACCGCAATGACGTTGGCCAAGCCCGGGTACGAGAGGCCGAGGCACTCATTGTTGAGTGCGTCGTTGGCTGGCGGAAGCATGTGCACGAGCGCTGTCGACACAACAACCCCGACACCAAACGCGTTGACAAACGACATGATTGTGGCCATTTGCTGGAGACACGCGAGGTGCTTGGAGACGACGGGCAGCAGCGACCCCATGAGCGAGACGGCGAGGATGATAAAGATGGCGCCAACATGCAGCGCCATGTCATAGTCGTCGTCGCGACCTTGCACAAAGCCACACGGGTTGTTGTCGTCGTCGCCGGCCGCGAACATGCTGGAAGGTCGCAAATGGATAAGTGATGTTCCAGGAACGGTTCCTGCGAAGTTCGCGGTCGAGGAAAGTCGGACCAACGGGCCGATCCGACGGCGGCATGAGACAGGCCAGGACCACCAAAGCGCAATCGGCCGTTCGCATACAAACGGCGAGGTTAAAGCGACGTGCGAATGGAACGGCCACGTTAAAAGAAGACTCGCATCGTCAGCCACGCTTCGACAAGGGCTCAGTGGTCGCGCGATGCGTCACCGAGGGCGAGACGCCTTCTGAAGGAACACTCATAGACGTGTGTTGTGCTGATCTCTCAAGCGTACAAAGAGGCGGTGTATCCGACGGCGGCACGGTTGACCCTGATTTGCTGGCGCACGGTCGGCGGACTTGACACGGCACGCAAGCGCTCTACGGTATTGTTTGAGCAACGCTACGGCGCAACGGTGCGTGGAGAAGACAGCGCGTAGGACATGTCTGCAACATTGGACCGAATAACCAAGCAAGCGAGAAGACAGCGACAAACGAATCGCCAATCAGCTGAGCGAACGGAAGCTGCAACAAACGATCGACGCAGCTTTGGCACGAACCATATCGATTCCATGATGTACTTTCTTGTCGGTAACAATGAAGCGCGCATCGGAGGTGGAAAGCGAGAGGCTGGAGCTCCGACGACGGTTCAAGGTTGGCTTCAGCATTTCCAGCATGTCACGCTTTTTGAGCAGTCGCAGGTAGGACTGAGGAGCTGTCCTGTCCAACTGGGCTTTCAAAGCTTGATGGAAATTGCCATTCGCACATTGTAGGGGCTCAACCATGTAATAACATTCAACGAGCTGCCGTGGACTACTAGGGCAGTGGGCTATAGCATCTACACCCCATGTGAGCGATGGCCTGCCTGGGGTACGAGGTGCTGTGTACTTGATTGAATCAGCTTATCGCAGAACACGGCAGCGGCACTTCGTTTGCGTTCTCTGGGAAGCAGACGCTGCAGTTTGGCAGTACATACCAGTCGTCGCCGTGATGTCTACTGGGATCGAAGGAGCTCAGATATCAGCATCATGTGCCCCTCCTTGGACCTTGGACCTTGGGTCGATGACGCCTTGCCGACCCATGCCGCCCGAAACAGTGTTTTACACTCTGTTTGAAGCTTCAGAGACAGGCGGGCAAAAACGGTCGCCGAGGAGTTTCGACGACGGCGATGGAAGGGCTCGAGTACGACGCCAACGACGTCGAGGAGCTGCTCTCGCTCTCCGACGCCGAAGACATTGACGCCAATTCCCGCCGCGTCCTCTTCCCGCCGCTCGTGCTGGACCTCGAGCCGCGAGCCAAAAAAGTAGACCGCCTCAAGAAGCTCGGCGTCTTGCACAGCCCGCTTGGCGACTGGCCGCGCAACAACGTTCGGTCGCCGCCCTCGGTGCGTGCACTGCACTCCAAACTGTTTTGATCCGGCTGGAATATAGGTCGAGTGCAAGCTTGAGGCGCCCCATAGCCCATACGTCAAGGCCTCACCAGCGAAACTATCCACGAAGAAGCGACACCCGACCAAGCTCCCGCCACCAATCGAGATGGAGACGTCACCGACCAAATTCAAGTTCAAGACCAACGACATCATCAAGCACGGTACTTGCCGACTTCGCGCAAAGTGTCCACGCTCAAGGACCACATTAGGGGACCTCAAGGTCTACATGTGCCGGCATACGACGATCCAGCCTCTCTTTTGCATCCCATTCCACGAGCACTCGTCCCTTACCTCGAGCCGGAAGCTCATCGACGACCTCCTCATGGTGGACATGGTCGACTATTGCTTCGTGGCACCGAACGGTAACCGACATATCGAGTGCAAGCGCTATTGACATCGTAGTGATGCATGCTAGGCAAAGCCATCGCCAAGACGGCCGAAGGACGCTTCAGTGCCTATTGGTTTCACCCTGTCTTGACGATCCTCGTGCTCTCGATTCAAAACACCCCCCACTTGTGCCAGAGCCCCGACGCACTTCGCGACGCACTCTCGCAGCTCGGCACTGACGGCCGTACGCCCACGAAAGAAAAGCCATGGAACTTGTCGTACGTGAGCTTTGGCAACTTTAGCTCCCAGAGCCTGCGGATGCAGACCGCGATCATCAAGGTGATGCGTTTTCAAGTTCGCGCGTCGTGGCGTCACAATGACGTGCTCTAGTCGCCGATGAGCTCCAAGATCCGGAAGCGCCATGCCCGCGATGTGCTTCGGCTGGCGCTCGAGACGCCCGCACCCGTCGACGATGCTGTGTTTGAGACAGCGCCAAACGGTGCGCTGGCCCCAAGCACCGTGCAGACGATCCTCGAACGCAGTCGCTACGACGTCCTCGACCGGTTTTCCGACCTCGAAGTCGAGGTGCGCGCACTCCCACGTCGGCGCATCTCATGTCGGCGCACCTAGAAACGCCGAAAGCGTCATCTGCGGCTGCAGCAAAAAACGCTGGTGCACGCGCTTGAGATGCACAAGCGTGCCGTCCAGCTGCAGTGCTGGGTGCGCACGGTATGGAGTGTGCGCCAAGTTGAGGTGCTGCGAGAGGCGCGGCGTCAAGCGCTCCAGGCGCAAATGCCACCTCCGACCTCGAGCGACGGCCGCCCCCGGCGCTATAGTATCAGGTACACCTCGTCCATCTTGATACTATCTTGATACATATTTCCTACTTGCTCAGTTTGAGCCAACAACCGATGGTCGTCGCCAACTTGCACTTTGTACCACAGTGTACGCCAAGTCGCCTATAGGACAATAGTGGAAACGAAATGACTCTAGTTGGCGCGTACGAAGAAAAGAGCATTGTCAAGCTCCAAGCGCTGCAACGCCGTCGCCTGGCACAAAAGAGCTATCGCCAAGCGCACGCCGTGAACCTCAAGTACGGATTAACCAATTGTCGATGGCATGAACGATGACAATATTGGACATAGGAAAAAGAGCTCGAGCAGCGCCACGAGATGCTGCAAAAGACCCAAAGCGACTACGAACGCGAGGCAGCGCTGACCAATATCAAACGACTCCACAAAGTCGACCAAAAGCAACGCAAGGAGCTTCTCAAGGAGCACGATGAGCAGCGGCGACAGGCCGCGATTCTGGCGATCCAGCGTTTGATTCGCCGCTTCTTGGCCGTCCGCGTCGTCAAGCGCCTCCGTATGGAGCGCAAGGCCGCGATCAAAATCCAGTCCCACTTGCGCAAAAACACGGCGCTCACCACAGTAGGCTTCTACACATCCGACATAACGGGCGATCTTCCTGCTGTAGCTCGAGAACCTCAAGCTCCAATCGCGCAAGTCGAGTCTCAATGTGTCAGGATCGTCCGTCAACAACAGTGACAGCTACCACCCACGTCTCTTTTGCCGGCGAGTTCACTTTCATGACACCACCAATGCTGTCGTGCTCGTGTATGTAGTTCATCTGAGATCTTAGACTGTAGCATGCGACATGCTCATAGGGTGCTCACCAAGACCCAGATCTCGCTGGTGCTCTACGAAGCCTCCTCGGCGAGCCACCCGACGGCCGTCGAGTGCACTCTAGAGACGGACGAGCTAAAGACACTCGGGCTTCTCACGCGGTCATACTTTATCACAGTCGGCGACATTGACCGCCTCATCGAAGGTAGCTCACGTCGGCAAGCTCTGACAACACTCGACTCATAGGTATGTCTAGGTCTGGTCATGCATCTCATCGTTCAGCGCGGCCGCGTGCTGCTCAACCCGCGCGAAGTCCACCCGTTTCGGAACCTCAACATTGACGCGCGGTCGCTCGTCTTGGGGACACCTGACATGTACTTCGGGCAGCTCTACCAAAAGGTATATGGATCAACTCTCGACAAAATATGGACCTCTCGTCTAGTGCAGCGACTGCAACAGCGCAGAGGACCTCCTTCGTCCATTGCGGTATGCGAAGCCGACACTGCACTACTACGTGGCAAAACGCGTCAAGCTCGGGATGGCCCACTTTGCGTTTTTGAAGACCAAGGCGTCTTGTACGTCGAGTGCTACGTCTCGCGCTGGCACCTCTGTCTCTGCATCGGGCTTCAGTACAGCGAGTGGAGCTTTAGCAACCTCCCAGTGCTTTCTCTCTGCTCGACCCCCCAAAAAGTGGCGATCGCCAAACACATGGTACGCACCCAAAATGAAAAAACAAAACATCTGAATTGAACATGTGGTACCGGTAGGTCCACCACATCACGTTGAGCCACACCAACGCCGTGCGCATCGATGTCCGTCAACGCATGTTTCGCCAAGCCAAGCGGCTCCGGTGCGAGACGTCGGGAAGCGTCACCTTTGCCGTCGGTCTCTTTTCAGTGCACCGTCTCGGGATCGCGCTGCAGCTCGAGGTCGTCTTCGCCTCCGGCGACGTCCTCCAGAGCAGCGTCGCACACAACATTCTGAATCGGATTGGCTACACGTCGCTCTTGGATATGGACGCGGAGACGGTTCAGATCTTGAGTCGCCAAATGCTCAGCTACCTCCGCGTCATTGAGCACCAATTGGTGCTGCAGATCGACGAGTGACTCTTGTACATAGGGGATCCTCCGTCGCGCTCGACGATGCATCCAGTAGCACACAATACATGCAGATAGCACATATTGTCTGAAAAGATTAGCACATATTGTCTGAAATGATTTTGCATCTTAGTTACTTGATCCAGGGAGGGTGATGGCGAGGCGCCTATTTTCACCAAGACCAATCGACCTAGACCACGACCTCCAGTGGTTGACGCCCCTCCGTCGCTGGCATCTCTCAAGGTCGTCGATTAACCGCAAAGCTCCGCCGCTGAGAGTGACGCCTGAAAGGCTTTACGGCGCGTCGTCCTGGGCCTTCCTCGCGGCTGCAAGCGCCCACAGGCGACCAGAGAAGAGCAAGACGCGCCGCCGCCTGCGTAGCCACGACCCCGCGACCGAATGAAGAAGACTGCTATTCTCTACGTACTTACACAAAGTCGTTGGAACAATACAGGCAACGCGAACCACGTTCATTTCAATGGAGGTGTATGCCATGAGAAAACTCTCAATGCATCCGACCATTCCTAGCCAGCAGTCGAACATTTCTAGCCAGCATGCGTGGCCCCTTTCGGTACACCCCTGCAACGGTGCCCAGAGGTATCGCATCCATAAGAAGCAAAACGAATGTTTTCAAACGTCACGGAAAAAAGCGCAAAAATCGTAGACGTTGCGGGATTCGAACCCACAAAAAGCACAAGAATCCAATCCCGCCCATCATAATGCCCGCCCATGGTTGTCCACGCGTCCTAGTGAGCGCTGCAGCGCGTGCACTGCGTGCCGGCGCGCGACATGGTCACGCCTTCCCAGCCGCTCAAGAGGCGGCGCGGACACGTCGCGCACTTGCCCGTGATCATGCTTCCCTTTGGAATCGACGACCCGAGCATCGGCGTCGAGTTGAAGCCGTTGGTGCTGTACCAGCTGCGCCCGCCGCCCCCGCCTTGTTCGTCGTCCGGGCTCTCGCGCTGCTGCGCGCAGTCCACATGCGGGCACGTGCGCCAGTCGCTGTGCCCGTGTCCTTCGTTGGCGTGCGAGCCACACGTCGTGTACCTATGTCAGTCGATCGCATCAAGAACGTTCATGGAGGTCCGTGGTCGGCGCACCGGTTGTGGGACCGCATGCAGTGAGTTCGACTGTAGCTCATCATCTGGTACTCGTGCTCGTTGTCGCAGACCGTGAGCCCGCAGCACTCGGTGGTGCCCAAGTTGACTTCGTTCTCGCCCGCGCCGCAGACAAAGCACGTCTCGAGGTCCGATGCTTCGACGGGGAAGCACCCGATCGGGTACTTGCGCAGCTCGTCGGCCTCGTTGTACGGAATGCCCGAGAGGCCCAAGGACGCAATGTGCTTGCAGTCGATCTTGTGGCGCGGCCAGTCTTGGAGCTGGTGCTCGCGGCCGCAGTAAAAGACGCAGCGACACTTGGCGCAGTGCTTGACGTCGGCGCGGTCACAACCGACGACTTCGCAGCGCCGTGGCACAAACATCTGCGACTGGCGCAGCTCGAGACGAGCTTCCGACGCGGGCGTGCGGCGCGTGGGCTTGAGCGGGGCGTAGTCGTCGTCGTAGTTGTCGTCGTCGTCGAACTCTTCGTCAAACTCGTCGTCCGAGCCAGATACGCCGCCATCACCGCCCATGCGCGAACGTTCCATCATGGCCTGCATCATCTGCTGCATGTCGGGAATACCCGCTGGCGCCTGCGGCGGCAGTCCTCGGCGGCTCATTGCTGCTTCTTGACGCGTTCTGGTGTCAAAAGAAAAATCACCTGCAGTGATATCCGGAGGATCCGGTTAAACAACCGAGTGCAGCCAATCAAAATCAAGAACGCATCCACCCTTGTCGAGCGGGACATGAGGCCTTGTGATCGCGGCCAAGGGTCTCTACTAAGACTACAATTTAGGACGCTTGGGATGTCGTAGACGTACCTGGTACGTCATCATCTCCATCACTCGGCATCTTATAGCTATCAAGCGTTGTTGTTGGCCAATCTTGTGTGCGCTTCGGGTTCGCGAACTTACCGAAAGACAGGCACAGTAGCTCGCAGCAGGAGCGATACGAAACAGAAATACTGGCGCATATACCGGCGCGGCTCAGGCAACACGAAAGCGCTGACGTGGCAGCGGCTCATAGAAAGGGCACCCAGTATTATCCGGATAATCAGACCCTGGACCCCAACTTCAACGTCAAATTGGGCCACACGGTTGCTGGCAAGAGCAAGGGCAAACTCACTTCCTCTTCGAATCCATTCCATTGCTGGCTCGTATGTCCGCACGACTAGATCTAGGAGCTCTATGCAACGCCGGAACACTTGTTGCGTGGCACTATGCTTGTTCCTGGACCAGTCGTCGTACCCACCTCGTCAACGTCAGTGGCGATGAGACTCCAGCAGCCGTGGATCTTCAGCAGCAGATGCAAAGGCGTTGGCGATGCACGCTGCGTCTGTCCCGACACACGCTCCTACATTCTACTCAAGATACGCCGAGCGGCTTGCGGTCCATGTCTTGATATATCCGTTTTCGCAGTGCCTCTCATATCAAATGTGATTGGCACCTACTTCTTAAAAAGGCAGCCCATGCAGCGACGGAGCGCGCTCGGGCGACACCTCGCGTCTCTCGTGCGTGGTTTCTGCGCGCTGCCGTCGGCGTCCAAGGAGGAAGAGCGGTATTTCTCACTCCTCGTCATCAACCGCGCGGGCGTCCTCGGCCAAGTGGCGACGGCGTTCGCCCGGCACGACGCCAACATCACGTCGCTCACGGCGCGGCCGACGCACGTGCCCGAGCTCTCGCGCATGAACATCTCGGCGATTCTATCGGCGCACAAGGCCAACCGTATTCTGCGCAACCTCCAGTGCATGGTCTCAGTGCCCTTCTTCCACGTCACGACCGCGCAGCAGCTGCTGCTCGACGACGCCTGCCTCGTGCAGAGCCAAGCACTCTTCCGCTTAGCGATGCCCGAGGCAGCGCTATCGCCCGTGCACAAGCTCATTGAAGCCTACAACGGCTCAATCATCATGAAGAACGAGCCGTCGCTATTGACGCCATTGACGACCGCGCCGAGCGCTAGAGACGCGCACAACACACTCGTGCACGTTGTAAACGCGCCGCACCTTCTCAACTCGTTCCTGCACGAACTCCAAGTGCTGGGCGCGACCGTCCTTGAGTGCCAAACGAGCGGCCCGTGCTTTCTCGACATCTACACACAGTCAACCCTGGTCGCCAAGCCGGTGGTCGATCACCCCCTCGAGCCGAATGACACTGCGTCGTCGTCGTCGTCGGCGGGGCCAAATACGTACTCGAAGGAGCGGCAGCGCCTCCACGCACGGATTGCAGCCCAGCTGTACTTCCACCCCAACTTGCCGTCCAAGCTCGCGAGTCCCAAGTTCATCTTGCTCTTGGGCATTCCAGGCTCCGGGAAAACGTCGATTCTCTCGGAGCTCGACCAAACGGGCCGCATCGTCCTCAACGACTTTGTCAATTTTGACGTGGACGATATTACGGCGCTTTTACCGGAATTTTACCAAGCCATGCTCAACATTGGTCTCGGAAACTTTGCCGAGGCGCCGCCACCCGGCCTCTCGATGGACCCACACGTCCGGTACAGCCACTGCCAAGAGGAAGCCAAGTACATTTTGAACGCCAACCTCGCGCACGCGATGCACGAGCGCATGAACATCATCCTGCACGGCTCCGGGAGGTCCCTCGACAAGTATCGGAGCTTGCTCGACAGCCTCGACCCGAGCTACGAGATCCATGTCATGTGCGTTGACGTGCCGATCGAGATGGCGCTCGATCGCGTCGAGGCGCGAAGCCGCGGCTACGGACGGAACGTTCCCCGCGAGATCGTCGAAGGCGCCGCGACGCAGATTTTACCGCATTTCCGAACGCTCGCCGAAGCCGTGCCCAACGCCCACGTCTTTGACTCGTCGACGTGGCCGCCGGCGCTCATTTGGTCCAAGCAAGGCCACGAGATCGTCTACCACTCCAAGGCCCACCCGATTCAGGACAAATACGGCTTGTGATCACGCACCCCTCATAGTGTAAACGTCGTCCAGCTCCTCCCTTTTCCAACAAAAAGGATATTAAATCACTTGAAAGCGGCAGCTACTACAGTCCGTCGAGAAGAAAAAATGTAGACTCTACCTGTAGTGGTCTGTCTACTATAACGAGTGTAGCGGTAGCTGTCTTGGCCCATCCTACACACGCCATCTGAAGGCCGACGTGGGGTAAAGTTCGTAGGGTTCACAAGGTCTTTTGTCGACAGTATAGAGCCGCTTTTACGTTGCATGCCAAGTCGTTCACTTGGTTGCTGTCACTCTGAATTCAACGCGACCACGATCCTACTACAAAATGGTGTCTCTAGTCACAAGACACTTTGCAACGGTGTTCAACACTTTCAAAACAAAACAATTATCTCAAAAACAAAATCTGCGATTCACGTGTGCCACTGCTTCGATCGTAGTGGACGCTACTCATTTCCATGATGCCTTCGCTCGCCATCACTGCAGATATACACTACGATAATATGTACATACTCTACCCAAAGCAATCAGTTCTCGTCACTTAGTACGTGTCCCCGCGGCACTTGAAGAACTGCTCGTTGATGTTGCCAAACGCTTGCAGCGCAATCTTCGCTTGGCCACTCAGAAGCGCGTGGAGCGACGCCAACTGGTCCGTGAGCGCCGAGATGCCCCACTCGAGCTTGAAGGACGCCGAGAGGTCGACGGCGCCGCCTGCGACGCAGTTGTGGTAGTAGAGCACGAGCACCTTTTCGATCTCGACATCGCAGTCGAGCGACGAGAGGCCCTGGAGCGTGCACTGCGCCGCGAGGGCCGCGCGCCACTTGAAGTAGACGTCCGTGGCCTTGTTGGGCGTCGTAGTGATCTCGGTGATGTTGGACTCGGAGTGCACGACGGCGCACGGCGTCTCGGCGAGCACCTGGAGCGGCCCC